TTTTTTTTTTTTTTAGGCTAAGCCTCTTTAACATAAGGTGAGAGTTTTGTTACTGTATTGTCACTCAGTTCTTTGCTTCTTCTGAGTCAGGTGCCAGAAAGCACCCTGTGATGATATAAAACTTAACTTTCAACAGTTAATCAGCTGACAACTTAGGTTTTCCTTTAATGTTTTTAAAAAGTGGAGAACTGGAAAACAGTTCACTTGCATAAGAATTCGGAAATCATTAGTTATTTTTTACTTTCTCAAAACTTTCTCCCTCCATTATTTCCGGTGGACCCTGTGTTTAGTGGGTCTCACTGACCCAGGTTTTTTCCTGACAGGGAAGTGTTCCGGGGTAATAGGGTGAGTTATGGGAGTGTCCTTTGTAAAGCAGGAAGGCATTGTTAAAGAGGAGAAGGGTAGGGCCAGGCCGAATTCTCATGACACAGGCTGAGTAGTTTTTGAAACAGTTAACAGGTAAAAGATGACAAGTCTTAAGCCTCTAAAACTGTCTTTGCTGTTCCCCTCTTGACCGCCTGTTGTGCCTGCAGGGTACCATACCCCTCTGAGGTTGATATAAAGTACTTTGCCTTCAGCTCAGAACCTTTGGCAGCTTGGAACTTCTGTGCACTGTGGATAAAAAGTGAGGCGCGGGGATTTGGCCCTCAAGGTTTTTCTTTCTTTCTTTTTCTTTTTTTTTTTTTTTTTTGGAAAATGACTTTATTTTTGTGGCCAGAATAAGTGAAATTAATACGACATACTTTAAAGTAAGTTGCACTGAGTGTTGACTTTCTTAACAGTTCCTTATCTAAAATTTCTTCCAGGTTAATGAGTGGTCATTGAAGATAAGAAAGGAAATGAGAGTTGTTGACAGGCAAATAAGAGGTAAATTCTTTTTATATTTTCTGTTTATACCCTCTCTGCATAGTTTTGCTTCAGCTCATAAAAATAAACTACATGTGTGTAAGACAGTTTATTTCCATACTAATTAAGTACAGATATCCAGATTATTTTGTTAATTTTGTGGTCAGTATAAAAAATCTAATTAGCAGCCATCAAGAATACAGACAATAATAAATGTTGGAAAGGTGTGGGGAAGTGAACCCTTTCATACCACTGGTGGGACTGTGGATTAGTGCACCACTCTGAAAACCAGTATGGAGGGTCCTCAAAAAGACTAGGCGTGGAATCACCATATGATCTAGCTGTGTCCTTCCTCGTTATTTATCCTAAAGAATTAAGTAAGTCCTCACACTAGAGTGACACAGGCATGCCCATGTTTATAGCAGCACAGGGCATAGTCGGTGAACTACAGAACCAGCCGAGGTGGTCAGCAGCAGAGGACTCCAAGAAATGGACACGTGTACACCAGGGAGTCCTAATAAACCGTGCTCAGGAAGTCAAATGCTGGGGGTTTTCATGGGGAAGCTGGAGAGGGAAAAGAGAAGAAAAGCTTGAGAAGAGGGGGTGGGGTCTCCAGAAAATACAGAGGAGCGCAGTAGAATAGAGGAAGGAGACCCGGAGAGGGAGGGGAAGAAGGGGGGTACAGGAGGAAAACTGACTAGATGATGATGTTATCATGTGTATGTATAAATGTGTAACAGTGAATCCCACTATTACCTTTAATTATAATTGACCAATAAAGCTTTTTAAAAAAACTATAAAAGAAACCTTGATGTGTTTTATAGAGTTCAAATTGAATACATTGTGCATAAGTAAGGAATGCAATTCTGTTATTGATGCTCTGTATACCTTAGCATGACTTTAAATTGAGGACATTACAATTTTAACTTTTTTTTGAGTACAATTGAAATTAATTGAAATTAAGGTGATATGCAAAGGGATGATTAATGCTTACAATTTTTACACTAGTAGAATGGGAGAATTAATTCCCCAGAGGTACCCTGGTATCACTATTTAAAATTTTTAAAAAAATGGAGACAAAGACTTTTCCTGGATGTGATACAGTTTTGAACTTGGGCTTGTGCCCCTCTCTTAGATAAGAGCAAGCCAGGAAAAACTGGACAAAACTTATGGAACAGCTGCATTGTGATCAAGGGCCCGGGGAGAGAGAGGAGGCGCTGATAGGGTCCAGCCTTCTGGGTTGTAGCATGCAGGTAGAGTTCTGAGAAGAGATGGGGCCTCAGCACACAGGGAGGCCGGGGATTGTAGTGCAGAGGGTCAGAGGAGGGCAGGGCCCAGAGCAGGAGGAACCCCGCTGTCAGCCTCTTTGCTGCACATTACTCTGTGCTCACTTGAGTGAGACCCAGCAGGCTGGCCAAGAGCTCAGTGACAGGAGAGCAGGCTGGGTAGTGTAGGTTGGACTGTGCGTGGCCAGTTAACAAAGGGGTGCATTCTGAGACGGTAGAGAGACTGTGTTTATATCTGGCACACTAGTGGAGACCCCAGAGGGGTTCATCTTCAAGAAAAAAGTGTAAAAACAGGTCTTGAAGCTGATCTGCAAGTGATATAGCTGCCAGCCAAACCCTGGTGCTCTTCAGAGGGAGATTTTCAGGATCAGAGGCCAGCAGTGAACTGTTCACAGCACCCAATGCCAGACACTGTGAGGAAGAGTGACCCAGAATCAGCAGGAAAGTTAGGCCAGAGAGATAAAATCAGGGAAAAATGAGTGGATAGATCAGCAACCAGTGTGGTGAGGAACTGAAGGAAAATATGAATGTAGTGAGATAACTGGAATATGTGGAAAATGTGAGACCTTCACTGAATGGGCTTCACAATAGCAGAGAAGGAGAAGAGAGACTGTCGGTGAGACTGAAGACAGAACACAGGCTCTCTCCAAATCCAGTACAGAGAGCACAAGCAGCAAACCCACCAGAAGTGCTACACCCACCGGGACAACACCAGGGCTCTATGTGCATGATCTGAGTCTTGGGAGAAGAGTCGTGGAGGAGTCCGATGAAGTGGTGGACAAAGCTCTCCAGTGGAGACTGCCCACCATCAAGCCAAGAAGCTCTTCCATAGCCTGTGTCTGTGGAGAAGGCCGTACCATGTGTAGCGGGATTGAATCACCAAACAGGAGGCAGAGAATGCAGGAAGCCGCCTGGGTGTGCTCGGTGGGCCACGCTGGCCTGGAGCATGAGAGGCCCTTGGGTCCAGCCCAGCACCCCAAAATAAGTCACCCTAGGAGACAGGAACTGAAAGTCCTTTCAGCAGCATTGTAAGTCACAACATGGTGGGGAGAAAAATTATCCTAGACTTCCGTGGAAAGGGTATTCAAAAGATGAAGTTATAATTTCTTGTCAGTATAAGAAATGTTAAAGGTTGACAGAAAATCGCACCAAATACAAACTTTTATATAAGGAATGGGGCATTCTGGAAATGGCAAAAATATGTAAATAAATATAAATAAATTCTAAGTAATAAAATAAAAAATGGCCTGTTTAAGCACATGCAGAAATATCTAACAAACAGGTGTCTGTGTCACCTCTGGAGACCTGTGAGTCCTTGGTGTCTCAAGCGCCTCTTCCACAGCTTGGCCTGGTGCTCCTCACCTCCATGGCAGGAGAACCCGCCTCTCCAGTTACTTGTCATCAATAGCAGTTTATTAACCAGCCAGCTTGTAAGTTGGAGGAGATGATTGGTTTAAGAAAGTAACTGCAGTGTATGCACGAAGGAGATGAGAGAGGAATCAAGTCGTTTTACTACCAAAAAATCCAGTGAGCACACAGAAGATAGTGTCAGGGCTAGGGTGTGGCTTACTGGCAGGGCACTTGCCATGCACATGTGAGGCCCTGGGTTAGATCCTGGCACCACATTAACAAATAAAATAAAGGTATCGTGTCTGTGTCTGAAAAAAAAAAAAAAAAAAAAAACAGTTAAAAGAAATCAGATATGAGGGACAAAAAAGCTATAATGCATACAGAAAACAAGTGGTAAAATGCAGGAAAAACTCCCTTTTTAGTAGTTACTGTTTTTTTCCGTCTTGCTGAGGATTGAACCCATGGCCTCATGCATAGTTGGAAGCGCTGCACTGCTGAGCCACACCTCCAGCCCCAGTAGTTACTTTAAATGAGTCAAACTCTTCAGTCTTCATGATCTAACTACATGCTGCCTACAAGAGACTCACTCCCTTCAGAGCCAGAGACACAGATTGCGGGGAGGGATACTAGACAACGCAGGCTTCCTGTCAGAAAAGATCACTGTTGAGGCAGCTTTCTGCTGCTGTGACTGAAGGATTCCTCAGAGCTCAAGGTGAGGCAGAAAATCATGACCAGAGACAGCAACGGAGGAAAGCAGCTCATGTGATGGTGATCAGGAAATGGACTCCACTCTCCACAGATTCAATGTATCCAAAGCCATGCCCCAGTTCCCACCTATAGCCACAACCCCACTTCAGTTAGTCCCATCAGGATCAGCTCACTGGTGAAGCTAAGGCTTTAACCCATCATTTCTCCTCCAGACTTGCTCACGTTGTCTCCCCTGTGAGCTTTCGGGGGAGACCTCACATCCAAGCCAAAACAGACAGAGGAGGGCAAAAGGGATTAACAAATCCCACCTCTAAAGACAACAGAAGCGTGTTTCCAAATGCACTGGATTGGCCATCATTGTGTTTGATTGGGGTCAAGAAGGTTGAAGTTTCTTTGCAGAGCCAGGTGCTCCTTATGCTGTCTGTCCAAAAAACATCCCAGGCCACAGGCTGCTGGTGAAGGGACTTGGTTACAACAGACATCAAGAAGTTGGAGTCTCCTGGAGACTCTGTGAAGTCAGGAGGAGGAAAACCAGTCCTAAAACTGCAGAAAGCCCAAGTAGTTTTGGGCCTGACTTAGATCTGCCTTGTGCGCCCTGTGGGCAGGGCAGATATCTACTGCAAGGGGCACCTCAGGAGACTGTGCCCTGAGAGGGGCTGGTGCTGCCTCACTTGCCAGCCTGTGTGCCAGCCCTGCTCCCGGCCTGGGGCGCAAGCCGTACTCTCGCCCAGTTCTTATCTAGTCTCTGAAAAGACTCCCCACCATGAACCCAGCCTCCTTCCTGAGGTCACAGTGTGGGTGCCACTCAGAACCTGGTGCAGTTTCAGGAAAGGGACTGTAGGTTGGGGGCTCCTACTGGTGCCACACAGTTGTGATAGGACTAAGGGTGTTTAGTTCTGCCGTGTGACTCAGCCAGATGAATTATTTTGTGAAATCAGTAATGTTATTACAGTGGTCATTTCACTCAGCCTCCACCAGACTTAATTTATGCTCAACCTTCAGTTGAATGACAACTGTGTAGAACATTAGACAAAGTCATGTATTTCTTAATTGTATAGCTATAGAGTCATGTGAGGTGCATTCATTCTGTAAAGGAAAATATATAACATTTATATACTTTTATCCACCGAATAACAGGCTGTTAAAATATATAAAGCAAAAATAGAATCAAAAGGAGAAAAATTCTATAGTAATAGCTCAAGACTTCAATACTCCATTCTCTAAAGTGGTTAAGCAAGGAGAGAAACCAGCTGGGTCTAGTAGACATATGTGCAAGAGCAGAATAGGCGATGATTATCAAGCACATGTGAGAAGTCTCCATGATGGACCATGTGTTATGCCACAAAATCAAGTCTTATAACCAAATGAAGTTAAAAATCCATAACTAAAGGGACACTGGAAAATTCACGAATGGAAATAAAACAACACACTTCTTCTCAACTTGTGAAAGAACTCTTCACTTTGGAAGCCAGAAGATACTTAGAAAAGAGTAAAAATCAAAGTACAACATAAGAAAACGTAGGGTATGCAGCACAAACCAAGATCAGAAGGGGACTTTTAGTTGTATATGCTCACATTAAAATGAAGAAAGGCCACAAATCTTCAACGTAACTTCACATCTTAAAGAACTAGAAGAACAAACTCATCCCAAGTCTAGCAGAATAAAGACAACGGTAAATACAAGAGTAGAGATTAAACAAAGCCATGTAGGAAATCAAACCAAAAGTTATTCTTGGCAGAGAGCAACAAAATTTGACAAACCTTTAGCTTGATTCAGAGGAGAGAGAAAATTCACATTACAAAATAGTCAAATAAAGACGGAGACACTACCAGTAATTCTGTAGAAATTTAAAATTTTAGGAGAGTATTTTGTGCAATTGTACATCAACAAATTGGGCATCCTAGATAAAATGGACAAATTCCTAGAAACAACAAACCCACCAAGATGGAAATATGAAGAAAAGAATCTTTGTAGACCTGTGACTAGTAAGGAGACTGAATCAATAATCAAAAACTCTCTTACAAAAAACAAAAAAAAACAAGCCGGGGAGGTGATACATGCCTTTGATCCCAGCGACCCAGGAGGCTGAGGCAGGAGGATCATGAGTTCAAAGCCAGCCTCAGCAAAAGTGAGGGGCTAAGCAACTCAGTGAGACCCTGTCTCTAAGTAAAATACAATATAGGACTGGGGATGTGGCTTAGTGGTCAAGTGCCCCTGGTCCAATCCCAGGTACCTGCCGCCTGGAAAAAAACCCATACCCTGGACCTGGTGGCCTCACAGGTGAATTCTACCAAACATTTAAAGAAAGTTAATACCGGTCCTTGAACTCCGACCTCCTCCCCCCCCCAAAAAAAAAAAAAAAAGTGCAGAGAACTTAATCTATATTCCGCATTGTTTTGACTCAAAGCCAGGCAAAGACACTCAAGAAAACTATTCCAAGGTGTAGCCCTTGTGATCGTTGATGTGGAAATGCACCAACATACTGGCAAAGCAAATCCAGCAACATATTACTAAAAGGATCACACACCATGGCCAGTAAGATTTATCTTAGAATGATTGAGCATACAAACATGGACCAGCATGCTGGGCCACAAGGAGGGAAAAAAGGGAGAGGTAGCAGAGCACTTGCCTAGGCGGGCCCAGGCCCTCTCTGTTGATGCACAAGTGTTTGGCAAGATCTTAACACTCTTGCAGGACAAAAGCATTCAATGTAGGAGTAGAAAGAAATGACCTAAGTGTACTTCAGAGTCGTGTATGCAAAGACCATAGGCACTGGAAGTATTTCCTCTAAAGTCAGAAACTCTTCAGGGAGACCTGCCTTTGCCAGCTGAGGGGGGCTGGATGCTAGCCAGAGCAGCCCGGCAAGAAACAATGAAAGGCATCCAGCTGGAAAAGAAGAAGGGAGATGGTCCTGCAGATGATATGACCATATATGTGTAAAACCCTAAAGATGCCACAGAAATCTGTTAGAACTAATATGGAAAAATAGCAGGATGTAAAGTCAACACAATTGCTTTTCTCTGTGCTAACAGTGAACATTCTGAAAAAGAGATTTTTAAAAATTCCATTTAAAGTCATAAGACAAAGAATAAACTTAGGAAGTACTTAACCAAGAAGGTGAAAGACTTGTATAGTGAAAATCACAAAACTTTGTGGACAGTGTTCACATAAATAAATGGAAATGTGTGTTGGAAGACAATGCAAAGATGTCAGTACTCCCTGAGTTAGTGCGGTCCTTGTGAAAATCCCTGTGACTTTTTGTTTGTAGAAATAGAAAAAATCTATCTTAAAATTCATCTGGAATCTTAAGAGACCCCGAATAACAAACAAAACCTCTCCAAAAACCAGGAAGAATAAAATTGGAAGAATCATTTCTTGATTTCAAAACTCATTAGAAAGCTACAGAGAAAATCCTGTAGTACTGCCTAAAGACAGAAATAGACAAATGGAATAGAGTGGAGAGCCCAGAAGTAAGACCGCGAGTCTGATATCAGTTGAGGTTTTCCACAAAGTGCTGATGCCATTTAGTGGGGAAAGGACAATGTTTACACAGACAGTGCTGGAGAAACCGGGACTCATCGGGAAGAGTGACATTGGGAGCTTGTGCTTTGGAAGCACTGCAGCCAAGCTGAGCAGCTTGGATGGCTGCAGAGGTGCAGTTCTCAGTGGCGGCCAGTGTGCTGGGGCTCCACCCCAAGATTCCTGTTTGTTGCCCTGTTTCTCTGTGTGACCACCAATCCCAGGAAGTCAGAGTGAAGGGGGGTTCGCCCCAGGCTGCAGGACATGGTCTGAGTGAGGTGGGGGTGTAGGCCTTCGCACCTCCCTTCTTCCTTTCTACCCAGAACAGTGTACAAGACAACTTGCATTTCCTCAGAGTCTTTCTGAAGCTTCACTGAATAGAGCCCAGAATAGGGGCTGCTCTCTTTTCTCTCTCCCCTCTAACTATTCATTCTTCTGTAGTCCTCCCCCAAATATGAAGTTGGCCCTTCTGTGCTAATGCTATGTACAAAAACAGCTTTAAAAGATATCCTACTGATCCTACAGCACACAGCGCAGACCTGTCACTCCTGGTCGGTGCTGGTGAGCACTCCTCAGGGCTGGGCCTCCCTGTACTGCAGGTGTCTGTGGAGCACTCTCGGCTGTAGGAGGCTGCAGCACTGGTTGTGAGGGCCGGCTGTATTGGAGCAAGCTCTGCAGTGTTTTTCAGGCTGCTAGTACAGCACCTATGGCACACTAGACTGGCCTCGGTGGGGGCTATGACTCAGTGGCAGAGTGCTTGCCTAGCATGTGTTCCTTAGCACCACATAAAAATAAATAAAGGCATTCTGTCCATCTACAACTACAAAAATTTATTGAATGTTCTGAAATTTTGTCAATTATAAAAGGATTATGCTTTCTTGTTACTCTTTATATTAATGCTGTTTGTACAAGTAATGAATGCCTCCAATAATAATTATTTTAACTTCATTTGTATCCTTTCATATGTTTTCATTTTTGGTAGACATATTTAGATCACAATTAAAACAGATTTTGAGTGCTGACTAGTCTGATTTGCCCTTGATGTCATGTTGGTGTCATGTTTTAAATTTAGATATCCAAAGAGAAGAGGAAAAAGTGAAGCGATCGGTGAAAGATGCTGCCAAGAAGGGCCAGAAAGACGTGTGTGTGGTCCTGGCCAAGGAGATGGTCAGGTCCAGGAAGGCCGTGAGCAAGCTGTATGCATCCAAAGCTCACATGAACTCTGTGCTCATGGGGATGAAGAACCAGCTCGGTAAGGCGCCATCTCCTCTCACTAGCTCTTATAAACTTCTTAAGTGACCTACCTTGTCAGGTAATCAGGCATCTTGTCAGTCTCGCCCAGGAACATGTCTCTAGCTGCAGAGGCAGTGCTGTTTATGGGAAAATACATCTGCTGGCGCCAGCATTCAGCTGAGGTGCTTTCTTCCTGGTAACACCCTCCACGTTAGCACACTGGGGCAGAGTCATTTAATGAAGGAATTCTGCCATTCCTTATTCCCCCTTGAGCTGTGCTGCTGGCTTGTAGGCTCCGCAGCAGCACTGAGCCTTGTCTGTGCCTTGTTCCTGCGTTTGCCAGCGGAGTGCCGTCTTGAACACACCTCTTGATCGTGGCTCCCACCTCTATGGTCACCCTCACTAGGCATGTGTTTTACCTGGAGCAAGTGATTTCTAGCATGTGATCCTTGGGCAACTGAGAGCCCCCAGACCCTTCAGGGCCATCCATGGGGTTGAACTGAGATACTTTTTGCCTTTGTCACCACATTGACATTGGCGTCTGACGTGTAAAAGCAAAGGTGGGAAAACTGCTGTGCACCAGTCCAGGTAGTGGCACCCACGCCACCCAGGAGTCACCCTGCTCTTCATTGCCACATGCCACATTCTGAGGGAAGAGTCGGCTGCGCTGAAGGACCTCAGTGAAGCAGTACAAGTTATTCTGATAAATGCCGCTGTTGAGCCACGTGTCTTTTAGTATTCTGAGTAGCAGAAAGTTGTGTAATTTACTTTACCAATTTCTCCTTGCCTGGCTTAACAGTTTTCAGAGGACCGCCAGATTCCATATTAATACCAAGACTGTACTTTTATTTCTGCAGCAGCAGTTGATGGTCACTTTCCATGTTTTGCCCTCAGCACTTTCTCATATGTGTGTATCAGTATACGCACACACCACACAAAGCATATTGTGATGTGAAGAGAAGAGGCGGAAGAGTTTTTTATAGATATGTCTATCAGGTTTTTATGTCATTGTTTTTGATTTTAGAAAATGGAAGACAAATAACATTTTGCTCGAGATCACTTGTTAACTTGTTGACCAGTTGGAATGATCAAGTCATCTAAGTCATGGATCTTAGAATTGTAACTTACTTGGTTGTTTGTGTTGATTATCTAGAGGCTGATTGTTCAAGGAGGAGTCCCGCTTGTGGCTGAGAACCTGTATGTGACCTCTTAGGCCTTGCCAAGTGCTGTGACAAGGCCTTACCTGGCAGACCTTGGGAAACAGGCTGCCACTCAAGTCCTGGGGCACAGCAGGGTGTGGCAGTCTTCCTTGTTTCTTGGATCCTGGGGATTGAACTCAGGGGTCCTGTCCCTCTGAGCTCCATACTCAGCCCTTTTTTGTTTTTTATTTTGAGATAGAGTCACTTTGAATTGGGAGGCTGACCTAGAACTTGTGATTCTCCTGCCTCAGCCTCTGAGTCCCTGGGATTACAGGTTTGTGCCACTACACATGGATGCGTTGCAGTCCTTAAAAAGAGTCTCTGTGAAGGATTCAGGCCACCCTGAATGCTCCTATTTAGTTCTGCATTCCTAGCTCAGATGTGTCCTTTTGGAGGGTTCCTCTTGAGGGATGGGGTGGGGGTGGGGTTTGGCAGCAGACTTCTCAGATTCCTCTGCTAGGACCTCCTTGTGGGTGAGGAGGGAGCTTTGAAGACACTTGCCTCCACTCCCGGTCCTCCCCTTCCTCCCTGGCCCTTGACCATAAGATGGAGAGACTTGTTTTAGGCTCTGTCTGGGATACACCTGACCCTCACCTGGTCTTTTGCTTAAAGTGGTATTTTAATGTTAGCAAAGTATCAGGAGAAGCTTATGTCATTAATGTAAAATTTTTTATTTTTTTATGTTTAATTTTATTTCTGCTTCAATTTTGTAATTTTACAGATTCATAAGCATCAGGAATTTTTACCCAATTAATAAAGTTAAGATGATTAAAGCCAGCAGTGGAAAGCTGTTGGCAGGGACGTGGCCAGCATTTCCTTTTTCCTCAGAGGAGCGGATCAGTGGACTCAGCAGAGGAAAAAGGTGGTGGTGCGGTTGGGGACCAGTCAGGTGGCAGAGCCTAGTACCTGGATGGGGACGAGTATGTGTGCATGTGTGGTAAAGGGCTTGGGTGGAAGTCTGGAGAGGCACGCAGACCAGAGGCTTGCACAGGCCCCTCTGAGGAGAGCAGCTGGGTGGCAGGAGGGTGGGCTCCCCCGCTGTGCCAACAAGCCCTTCTGTGCTGCTAGAACAATGGTCCTGAGGTTTCAGTTCCTCTCTGGTGCATTGTGAGCATGCACAGGAGTACAGGGAGCAGTGTGATGGTCCTCAGGTGTCTATCACTCAGCCCAGTGCTTGTCAACTCTTGATGGGGTGTGTGTTTTTTTGGCCACTGTCCTCACTTGGTTTATGGATTTCCTTGGGACCCGGGACTCACTTTCCCAGGGGTGAGTGCACTTGGTGTCCTCCCTGAGCTTGGGAGCCTCCTTGGGCCTTGCCCTGCTCTGGGACCCAGTGCCTCACTCATGCTAGGCCCCAACCCCATAATTAATCTTTTAACTATATTTTTAAATTTCTTTTAACCTTGTTACAAGGAAGAATTTATCCAATTCTCTTAAAAGGATTTTGATTTTGAGGTTTTAAATGTTTTTGATGTCACCTCTCTGAGCTTTCATCTGTCCTAAATGTGAAAAGCCATAAAATTCCATGTTTTCTTTTTTAAAAATATCTTTTAGTTGTGAATGGACACTATTTATTTATTTATTTATTTATTTATTTATTTATTTATTTATTTATTTATATGTGGTGCTGAGGAGCAAACCCAGTGCCTCTCACACATGAGGCAAGCACTGTACCACGAGCCCAGCCCCAGCCCTCCATCTTTTCTTAGACTCCTATTCATTCTATTTGTAACTGCCTCCGTCAGGCTGGGTGTGGTGGTGCATGCCTAGCGCTCAGGAGGCCGAGACAGGAAGATCACGAGGTTACAGCCCGCCTGCACAGCATCCTGGCATCTAAGCAACTCCATGAGACCCTGTATCTAAATAAAATATAAAACACGGCAGGGGATGTGGCTCTGTGGTCCAGTGTCCTTGAGTTGAATCCTCGTACAAAATCCAGAAAATACAGTCAGTCTGGTTTGTGACTGTCACTGTGCTGGGCCTTTGTTACCAGTGAGCTGTTTTCAGTAATTTAGTTTCTGGTTATTTAACTGTAATTCCTGTAAGAGCTTTGATAGGTAGAGGGCATTCTGTTTTTTTTTAAATATTTTTTAATTGTAGATGGACACAATACTTTTATTTTTATTATTTTTATGTGGTGCTGAGGGTGGAACCCAGGGCCTGGTGCATGCTACCCACGTGCAAAATACCAGGGGCCATCCTGACTTGTTTACAGACTCTAACAGTCCATGAAATGTGATGGGTGGCACTTTTGCTTTCTTTGTTGCATTAGGTGTATGTTAAGCAGCAGGAACCATGAAGCTCTGCAGCGGAGCTATGTGGAGGGCTCTTTGCCTGCCCTGCCTGCGCCTGCACTGAGCTGGCTGTCCCAAGTGTGGACGCTGTGGGACATCACCATCAGCATTTCCTCAGATCCAGAGCTAGCCAGTGAGCGGCTCACCTTGCCCACACTCTCGGCAGTCCTGGATGGCAGCCCCTGGTTTGAGTTGGTGGCCCCTTAAGAGCACAGTGCTGATCAGCTTTCACGCACTCACTGCCCTCTGCGTGTCTTCTTACTGAAGTGGTCCACTGGTCTTCGCCTCCCCCCTTTATTTTTAGCTGTAGAGGGACACAGTATCTTTATTTCTTCATGTGGTGCTGAGGGTGGACCCCACTACCTCACACATGCTAGGCGGGCGCACCTGGCTGACCCCTGAGCCCACCCATCCCCTCCAGGCCCCTTTCACTCAGGCTGTGGCTCGTGCTGAGTCTCAGGAGTCCCTGTGTGTTCTGGATGCAGCACTTTTTCGGGTAGGTCTTTTGCAAGTATTTTCTTGAAGCTCGTGGCCTGTGACTCTCATTCCGTTGGAGTGGTGACTTGATTTTGAAGTGGTTTTTCTCTGCCAAGCCGCCGCTTTCCCTTTTTTGTTCTTTTTATTTTTGTTAGTTCTGGTTGGACACAAGACCTCTATTTATTTACTTTTATGTAGTGCTGAGGGTCAAACCCAGCACCTCACAAGTGCTAGGCCAGGCCTGTACCGCTAAGCCACACCCAGCCCCAAAAACACTTGAGTGTTTTTGGTCTTTTTGCTTGCAGAAAACATGTTGTACTCCAGTCCCCTCCAACTTGTTTAATTTGTGTCTCTGTAACAGATGCCCCATGATCCCCAGGGAACAGGGCGTTTCTCCCGGGCTGTAGGCCAGGGTTACAGGATGGAGGCCGGGCAGCTCGGTGGTCCAGAATGGAGGTCCAGAATGCTATGCCTGCCCAGACAGGAAAGACAGGCCCCCTATTCATACTCATCAGGGAGGAGCCTGAGGTTCTTATCCTCAGAAAGGCCACATCTCTTAACTCCTGTCACACTGGCAACATGAATTTTTTGTTTTGTTTGTGGGGTTTTTTTTGTTTGTTTGTTTTTTAAAGAGAGAATGAGAGAATTTTAATATTTATTTTTTAGTTATTGGCGGACACAACATCTTTGTATGTGGTGCTGAGGATCAAACCCGGGCCGCACACGTGCCAGGCGAGCGCGCTACCGCTTGAGCCACATCCCTAGCCGCTGTTTGTGGGTTTGTGTGTGTGTGTGTGTGTGTGTGCATGCGTGTGCTGGGGATGGAACCCAGGGCCTTGTGTGTTCGAGGCAAGCACACTGCCAACTGACCTGTACCCCTAGCCTCTAATTTTGGGGAGCATACATTCACACCATAGTTCCTTTCTTTTGGATTTCAGGTGCAAAACACATTTAGTTCAGCCTCTTAAAAATTTGCTTTCCAATCAACATTGACTGATTATAAAGATAAATGACTATAATAAGTTTTTTTATTCTTATATTTTTGTTTGTAATGTTTTATTCATAAGTTCAGTTTTTATTTTTTCCCACTGTTTGGCCTGTTTCCTTTTCTTGTCCCTCCTTATAATTAGAAATGTGTGTAACCTTTTCACAATATAAAACTGATTGAGCTGGGGACAGTGTGGTGCCTTTAGCTTAGGCGGCTGAGCAGGAGGATCACAGGTTGGTTTGAGGTCAGTCTGGGCAACTCAGAAGGTAAAAGGGCTGAAAACGTAGCTCAGGGGTGGAGCACCCCCGGGTTCAGTCCCCAGTACCATACAAAACCCACACAGTGAACTCTGAAATGACCATTCTGGGTGAGTTTCACACTCCTCCTAACCCAGGCTCCTTGGCCCTCAGTCTGTTTGCTGCTGTGAGAGCCGACCTTGAGGCAAAGGCTCAGAGGAGAAAGGAGCCTACGTCCTGGTGGCTGGAAGCCCAGGATGGGGTGGCATCATCTTCTGGGCTCTGGGGAGGGTCTCCTGGAGGCGGCATGGCAGGGGCAGGGGCAGGTGTGGGAGATCTCATGGTGAGATAGCAGGCTGGAGCTGGGGCCAGGCTAGTTTTGTAACCAGCTCCCCTGGTGAGCTACGCACCTGCGGTGCCTGTGACCCCGAGTGTCTACATGCCAGCTCTTGGAGGGCCCCACCTCTTGCCCCCTTGCAGTCCCAGCTTCCAGATCAGGACCTCTGGGGACACAGTGCCATGCTGGCCGAAGTCTCTATGGGTGCTTGCTCCTCCAGAAAGGGCAGGCAGCCCAGAGCTGTGTGGGCATGCTTGCTCTGCGCCTCTCTTGCCCTGTGGTGACTTTAGCACTTTGGTATGTCTGGCTTTTGGTGTCACTGCACAGTGTGTGTCATTTCTTGCTTACCTCAGCCACTGGTCGCTCCCTCTGCAATATGCTGACCTTAGAGACTCTTCCCCACTCCAGTGTGGTGAGAACAAGGGGCGCTGGGCACCCCAGCTAGGTATTTCCCTGTCTGCTTGTCTCCTGTGGGGTGGGCACACTCCCTGGGGTCTGGCTGCAGGTGCTAGCAGCCACGCATGGTGCATCGCTGGACCCTGGAGGCAGGTGTTAGGGGCAGCGTCAAGTGAGTCCTGGTCACCCACTATGACCATTTCTCCTAAAGAGGGCCATGGCACATGTGTGATCTCAGATCAGAGACCACATAGCCCCACACTGACACTTGCTGTGCCTCGTCCTGCTTGTTGCACCTGGGGACCAGCGGCAGAGGCTGCCTGTGTGGGCTAGTGCATGGACTCTGCCTGGGCACCTGAGGCCCCGTAGTCTGTGGCCTCTACACAGCTTAGAGCAGTTCCCGCCCTGGTGGCGGTCCCCGTGTTTGGTAGGGCTCTCTTCCTAAAGCTCGCTCCCCAGGAGGGCCCACCACCTTGGTGCTCAGTGATGCACACAGCCCTGGCCCAGTAGCACAGGAGGGGGTCCATCTCAGTAACGCCTGCTGTGGGCACAGCGGCAAGTCTGCAGCCTGCTGTCGCCACCATTGGTTTTTTTTGAAGGCTCCTGACTGGGCTTTGTCCCTCCTGACGAGTGTCTCCTTCTCAGCCGTCCTGAGAGTGGCTGGTTCCCTGCAGAAGAGCACAGAAGTCATGAAGGCCATGCAGAGTCTTGTGAAGATCCCAGAAATCCAGGCGACCATGAGGGAGCTGTCCAAAGAGATGATGAAGGTGATTGAACCCTACTGTCCCCTTGAGAGTTCCTTTCGGCAAGTGGCAGGAGCTGGGGTAGATGGGTGGGAGCAGAGAGACTGTGGCTGCTCTCCAGGTAGCTTTGAGAGGAGAGCTATGGGCACTGTTGAAGCCACCTGAGCTGCAGCTGAGTCAGGTTGCCAGGTGCTCCTTAGAAGCATGCCCAGAGCTGGGGGCCCAGGAGCAGCTGCTGGGGTTCAAGGAGAAGGTTTGCAGGCTCCTACTTTAGCAGGACACAGAGCAGCGTCCAGAAGCTGGTCGAGCTGTTGTAGGGTCATTGGAGCCTGTCCTGAGAAGTGCAGGGTGACAAGGTGGTGTCCATGTGCCTGCCTACAGTATGGGGGCAGCTGGGGACAGCATTAGACCAACAGGCACAGCTGTTCCAGCAGAGCTTTAGTTACAGGGATGGCCGGTGGATGGCTATTTGCCAAGCAGAGGGGAGAGGGGACCAAACAGAAAGCACAGGCACACCTGCCACCTCAGGAGCTGGACCTGGCAGGGACCTTCATTAATGGCCTTCAGACAGGACCAGGGTGAGGAGGCACTGCCAGCCACCCCTGTTCCCTCAGCAGGAAACTGAATCTCTGAGCTGCTGGGGCCCTGCGTTGGACCTCGCCACTGACCTGTCACTGGGGTGGCCTGGGGTCCCTTGTTCCCACTTCAGACCAGCATCCTGACAGCTAGGAGAGCTCACCACAGGGTCTCACAAAGGAAAGTCCTCCTCCTCCCTCGCAGGGGCTTCTGTGGCCTGGAGAGATACATAGGGCATGGAGTCTGGGCGAGAGGGGCCAGAAAAGAAAATTGATAGGAAGGAAAAGCCACAGAAAATGCTGAGGGTGATCTGCATCAAGGAGTTCTTGGGCAGAGCCTGTAGGAAGGGATGCTAACCGGGTTAGCAATTATCACCCACTTAGAGCTGGGGGCCAGGTGGTTCTCAGAGTAGCTTCAGGCCTGCGTGGCTCAACTCTGGTGGCCCCGAGATCTGAAGGAACGCTTCCTTAGAATCGGAGACCTTTTTCACAATTGTCTCTGGATACTGAGGAGTGTGGGAGAAGTCTTGTGTATGGTGGATAATAAATGTTCATCAAATGCACATGTGATGATGCATTCCCAGGGACACACCAGCCTCCGTGGGCCAGTGGGTGTGATTGCATTCTGTGTCCCCAGCACTGGCCTGGTGGCATAGGGCAGCATTGGAAGGGTGTCTGCTGATGGAATGGAGAGAGGTGTGGATGACCACCTGGGCCTCCATGGTGTGGTCAGGATCCTGACAGGATCTTTGGACCAGATGACAGGCGTGCAGTGAGACACTTTGACATAGCCCTAAGCACCGAGGTGACTTCCACTGAGCTAGGCCATGAGGCTCTGTCCTCTGGGTGGCCCTGAAGGTGAATTTGCTTGTGGTACTTGGGAGAAAGGGATCTGAGAGTGGGCAGAACAGGACACTTGCTAGATTTGTGTCATTGAGTCCCTCTGAGGGTCAGGGAGCAGACAGGCAGGGTAGAGGGGCTGCTTTAAATCTGATCGAGTCAGCAGAGTCAGCAAGAGTCATGCTCCCAGGAACCAGGGCCACCTTGTATGACTGTCTGTATGGTGCATGGCCAGAGCATCAAGGCCCGGAGCACAGAGCTCTGTTCTGGAGGCTGCGGGGCCCTCAGGTTCTCCTCCTCAGAAGCCCTCCCATCGCCCCTCCTCTGCCCACCCCCCACAGCCACTGGGCGCCTCTAGCCTCTCCTGCCCAGCAGGTTGCTCCCAAGTGCCGTTACTGAAGGCAAGCTACAGAAGGACAGCTGCGAGGGCCACCGAGGGGGCCACTAAGAGGGTCCCAGCCTTGGCACTGAGGTGGAGGCCCATGCCCTTGGGCCTTGGCCTTTCTGAAGAGCTCTGTGTCCAATGTTTTCCCTAGCCACCATCAGGGTGTTAGCCCTGGTGAGGGTGACCTGGGCTTGGGGAGACAGGAGCTTTGTCTGGGTGGCATCAGGGGAATGGTGGAAGCTGATGTGGCAGTGCAGGGAGTGACGTGTTCCATTTCTTCAGGCTGGGATCATAGAAGAAATGCTGGAGGACACTTTTGAAAGCATGGATGACCAAGAAGAAATGGAAGAAGAAGCCGAAATGGAAATTGACAGGATTCTCTTTGAAATCACAGCAGGTACGACCTTGAGATTCTCCTTCCTTGCCCTCTTCAGATGGCCCTTCTCCCTGTTACTGAGTTAGCAAATGGCTTCATTCTGTAGCTGTGACTCCCCTACTTTTATGTTTTTTATTTTAGAATATCTTAGTGAGTTCTTGAAAAAGTAAACATGATATAATCACCTTTTTAAAATGAGGAATTTTTTAAATTTGTAAAACTTGCATAATGGTGAGAGGGAGAGGTTCCTTTTGTATACCTCTGTAAGAAAGGAAGTCGGTGCAGACTTCCACTTCCTTTTCCTTTTTAATGGTACCAGGGATTGAACCCAGGGGCACTCAACCACTGAGCTACATCCTCAGCCCCTTTTAGTTTTTATTTAGAGGCAGGGTCTTGCCAAGTTGGTTAGGGCAACTTGGAGAGAGGCATGGATGACCACTTGGGCCTCCATGGTGTGGTCAGGATCTTTAGACCAGATGACAAGCGTGCAGTGAGACTCTCTGACATAGCCCTGAGCACTGAGGTGACTTCCACTGAGCTAGGCCATGAGGCTCTGTCCTCTGGATGGCCCTGAAGGTGAATTTGCTCATGGTGGTTGGGAGAAAGGGATCTGAGAGTGGGCAGAACAGGACACTCGCTAGATTTGTGTCATTGAGTCCATGTGGGGGTCAATGTAAAAACACACATATAGGAAAGGTCTGGAAGAGGGGTGATTACAAATTGTAGTTATTTGCTAAGTGATGATGGTTAATGAGTTTTTTTTTTTTTTTTTAACATTTGGTTTTTAGTTGTAGGTGGACACCATAACCTTTACTTTTATTTTTATGTGGTGCTGAGAATCGAACCCAGTGCCTCACAAGTGCTCTCTACCACTGAGCCACATCCCAGCCAGCCCCAGTTAATGAGTTTTTGAACTTTACTTTTACTTGGAGATTTTTTTTTTTTCTTCAATATATTTTTTGGTTGTCGATGGACCTTTATTCATTTATATTTGATGCTGAGAATCGAACCCAGTGCCTCACACATGCTAGGCAGGTACTCTCTTATTGAGCCCCAGCCCCACCCCCTACTTCTAGATTTTCTGAGGTTTTATTTCCATGTTTATATTGATGCAGTATAGTTGTAGATAAAGATGGGATTTGTTGTCACATGCACACAGTACGACAGTACAGTCTGGCCAATGTCATTTCCTAGCACTTGCCCTGTCCCTCTCCTCCTCCTGCCCTGGTCCCTTTCCTCTACTGATCTCTCTCCATTCTCATGAGACACCCCTTCCCCTTTTCCCTTTTTCCTCTCCAGCTTCCACAGGTGAGAGAATATATGACCCTGGACCACCTTCTGAGTTTGGCTTATTTTGTAATGTAATGTTCTCAAATTCTATCCATTTCCTGCAAATGACACAATTCCATTTTTCTTTACGACTAAGTAAAACTCCACTGTGTACACAGGCCACGTTTTCCTTTATCCACTCATCTGCTGATGGATGCCGGCCGAGGCTGGTTATGAAAGGTGCTGCTGTAAACATGGGCTGCCAGTGTCACTGCAGTGTGGTGACCTTGGTTCTTCAGGATAAATACCCCGGACTGGCACCTCTGGAGATATGGTAGCATTATTTCTGGAGCTTCAGGGGTCTCATTGAGAAATGTGTTGCCTGTGCTGATGAGCTGGAGTGTTGATCTGTGTTCTTTTCCTAGGCATCGCTAGCTTCCTAGTCTGATTCTGAGGTGCCCGGTCCCTCAGGAGTTGGCGTTGGGAGATAGGGTCTGGTCTCATCCTGACACGTGGGTAATCACTTGTCCCTGTTCAGGAGGCTATCTCTGCTCCAGTGTATGCTTTTGGCTGCTTCGTCAAGGATGGGTGACTGTGTCTGTCTGCTGCTCTGTCCCCTGGTCCTGCCAGCTGTTTTGTGCCAGGACCGTGCAGCACCTGTTCCTGTGGCTCTGGAGTGTGATATGAGGTCAAGTATGGTGGTTCCAGCATCAGGGTGGTGGTTGAGAATTGCTTTGGCACTTCTTTGTCTTCCATTTTTCCAAATGAATTTTAGGGCTGTTTTTCTATTCTGAGAAGAACATCATTGAGGTTTGGGCAGGGACTGCTCGGATCTGTGTGGTGCTCTGGGTAGTGTGGCCATTGGGCAGTGTTGGTTCTGCCTGACATTGAACAGGGCGGTCTTCGTATCTTCCAAGTTCTTTGCCTTCTTTCTTAGTGTTCATGGTTTTTATTATAGAGGACTTTCACCTCCTTGGTTAGGTTTATTCGTAAGATTTTTTTTTTTTTTAAGAATATTGTATGGACTTGTGCATTTTGGGTTTTTAGGTTTTACTGTTACTAAAACTGTTGGGGTTTATTTCTGTTATTGTTTATTTGTTTATTTCTTTGGAGGTACTAGGGACTGCACCAATGGGTGTGCTACCATTGAGCTACATTCCAGGTTCTTTTTCAGACAGGCTTTCGCTAAGCTGGCCAGGCTGCCTTTAGCCTTTGCAATCCTCCAGCCTCAGACTCCTGAGTTGATGGAATTATAGATGTGGAACACCGGGCCTGCCTGGAGCTTCTGTGTCTTCATTTAAGTGTAGATACAAAGAATACTTATTCAAAAAAAAAAAAAATATATATATATATATATATATATAAAACCTGTGATGATTTAGAAATTTTTTTCAGAAGTCTACAATTTTAGGATCTAGGAGCTCCAGGGCCTGTCTGTGGTTCTGTCTGAGGACTCAGTAGTATTAGGGTCTCGGGGCTCCGGGGCCTGACCGTGGCTCTGTCTTGGGACATGGAGTCAGACCTGCAGTTCTGAGTCTGAGGCTTCTCCTGGCTCTGCCTCCTGCAACTGGAGCTATGGGCACAGCCCACCATGCATGGCTGAACTAAGGTTCTCAAGATCAGAATCCATTTAGTCATCATGACTTTGGGTTGGGCTGGTGGCACATGCCTGTGACCTCACCCACTTAGGAGGCTGAGGCAGGAGGATCTCTTGAGCCCAGGAGTTCCCGGCCACACTTCCCAACTTGGCAAGTCACTGTCTGAAAAAAAAAAAAAAATTGTTCCTGGTGTCAAGATGAAGTTCTGTGTGGCCTTGTGCCACTTGTTCCCTGCACTCATCTGTCCTCATCTGGTGGGTCCAGGAGTGGGTCAGTACTTGAGCCCGAGTACTCATTTGCTCATGTTCTTCCTTTTCAGGGGCCCTGGGCAAAGCACCCAGTAAAGTGACGGATGCCCTGCCTGAGCCTGAGCCTGAGCTTGAGGGAGCCACAGCGGCCTCGGAGGACGAAGAGGAGGAAGAGGCTCTGGAGGCCATGCAGTCCCGGCTGGCCACCCTCCGCAGCTAGGCCTCTGCCTGGCCCTGGCCTCTCCGTGGTCTCACGGGCGCTGACTCGGGAGAGCCCCGTCCTTGCATCTCTTGCACTCCAACCGTCGTGAGCGTAACATTTGGAAAAGGTTCTGTGCTTGCATCCCTGCACTCCACGAAGGCTCTGGGCTCTTGAAGGTGGTGCAGTGGACACCCCATCTTCAGAAGGAGGGGCCAAAGTGTCTTATGGGGGAGGGCCGAGGTCCACTTCCTCATGATGCAAGTCTCAGAACAGAGTTGGTTGCCCAGATGTTGAGGGCTCTGTACTCTGTGTGTGTGATTGTGAGAGAGTGTGTGTGTGTGTGTGTGTGTGTGTGTGTGTGTGTGTGTGAAAGAGAGAGAGAGAAAGAGAGAGAAGCACTGTGTAAATGGATTTTAATAAATTCTGCTTTAACACTTGGCCCCACTGTAGATTGTCACAGGGGATGAGCCCTCGAGGTGAAGCTCCAGGCTGTCGCCTGTGTGGGCCTGGGAAGAGCAGGTGCCCCAGCAGGCGCACAGGGCTTCTGCTTGGTGGGTGCTGCTGCCCAGCCTGCAGACATGGGTGGGAGATGCCCTTCTGCAGCTGACATTTAACCAAGAGGCTGCTGGAGCGCCGTGCTGCTCCTCTGCATCCCCCCTTTTCTCCTCTGCAAGTCACCTGTAGAACTGTCTGCTGTGGGAAGGGCCACCCGCCTCCCCTGCCGTGCCCACTGTGAGCTGGTTGTCCTGTGCATGGGACACCACAGGGCTCAGAAGCAGCAGCCCCTTCTCAAGGCTGGCAGCTGGCAAGTGAGGCCAGGTGTGACCCCACCAGCGCTCCTGTGACACGCCCCAGGGGGGTCTCAGGTGAGCCTGCAGCACTGTTCCTAAGGCTTCCTGCTGTGAAGTTTCCTTAAGGAAATCAGCTGCTAGCCCAGGTGTGGAACACCATCAGGAAGTGGCTGACCTGGGTCCAGATGGCCAGCCGCCCCGAGGCTCTGCGGCCTGCTGAGGCAGCCAGGCAGCAGGAGGAAGGCTGGCCACCAGCGGCAGGGTGGCTATCGTAGACTGCACAGAGATCCTGCTGTCTGGTGTTGCTGCCGTGGGTACTTCCAAACTGTCGTACAGAATAGTCTGGGACCCACAGGACCCTCCGGCCACTCTTCACCTTGAGAGTATCATCACATTTATTTTAATGATGATTTTCAGAGCATCCCAGGCTCACAGCAGAACTGAGGGGAAGGCGCAGCACCTCCTACATCTCTGCCTTTCTCCGTGCACAGCTGCCGTGCCGTGGGTGACCCAGCCTCCCTTGCCAGGTAGTGGATGGTACATGGGATGTTGGGCGTCCTGTGGGTCTGCCTAGGTGTGTGTGATGCAAGGACCCACCATCACGATTTCATCAGGGGATCATCTCTCCAGCCATCCGTGTTCCGTGCTCTGTCCATGCCCTTCTCTCCCACCCACCAGCGCTGCTCCGGTCCTGCCCTTTCCCGAAGGTCGGGGTCCTTCTGTTCCCAGCCTTTCCACCCTGGCTTCTTTCACTTAGTGCTGTGCCTTTAAATCCCCTCTGTCCTCACAGCTTGACAGCTCATGGCTTTCTAGCATCCTCCAGATACTCCCCTGTGGGACGTGAGTCTTCATAAGTCCCCGCGTGGCCTGCATACACAGAAGGGGCTGGCCGGGTGGCCTTCCCAAGAGCTCACGGCTGGGCTCCAGTGGGACAGCGACAGTGCCTCTCCTCCACAGACTCAGCCTTCGGTGCTCTAAGTGGCCTGGGTCTTGCCATGCAGAAGCGAGCTGTCACCTTACTGTTTTGATTTGCTGAGTCCTCGTGACGCTGGATGCTGTGCGTCTCTGCTTGCAGCTGCCTGTGGCCTTGGCCAGCTGTCTAGGTCTGTGTTCATCTGCTGAAGCAAGTGGTTTGGTTTTTAGGTTATCGTCTTTTTGAATTTGGGTGACACTACAGTTATCAGCAATGTCCTATGTCCCAGACTGTGTGCCTTCCCGCTCGCTCTGTGCTCAGAGCTGGTCTTCTTGCCTGCATTATGCCTCTGGTATGCTGTATCTGAAAGTAACCACCACCCCTGAGGGTCTGCGTGTCTCTGGGGGCCTCGCGCCAGCCTGACTTCATCGTCTCCATGCACTAGGGCACTGGAGGTGGCCTGTGCACTGCTTTGTACACGTGGCTGTCGGGTGCCACCTGTCGTGGCTGCTGCTCTCCGCTGTATTGCTCTCTGTTGTATTGCCCTGGCCTAGATCAGCTGCCATGCTGGGGCCTATCTCTGGGCTGTGCACTGCCTCCTCCCCTTATGACACATGATGGTTGGAGCTTCATGGTGACTGTTGGAGCTGAGGGGTATCCATCTGCTGTCTTGGTCCTCTCCATCACCGTGCTGGCTGTGCACCTCATCTAGATCCTCCGAGGAGCTGGCTCTGATTCTCACTGATGCTGCTGGGGTCTTTGGTCCGGCTGGGCAGGGCCAACATGCTGAAAATGACCATAGGGTGCAGCATGCTATTGGAAGCACAGGGCAGCCTAGGTCTGGGGCCTGTTTGTTCTTGTAGATAATCTAACTGGCTGGGCGGCTGGGCAGGTGGCAGCCTCTCCAGCCCCTCAGGCGAGGCAGTTGGTTCTCCTGCATTTTCTGTTTTGCAGCATCCCAGCAGACATTCCTGGTGCTAGGCATGGAACCCAGGGCACTCATCCACTGAGCTGCTTCCCGGCTCATTTGGGGACTAAATTGTTGATGCTGGCCTTGAACTGGAGCTCTTCCTGCCTCCTCCCCTCCCCTGACCCCTTCACCACCCACTGCTGGGATCATAGGTGTGCACCACCACACCCGCTGGGGTTAATTTTTAAACAGGTCTTTTTCTGTTCCCCAAGAGTGGGTGTATCCTGCTCCATGTATTGTGTGTGTGTCTCCCCTCCTGCTTTTTTGGGGGGGGCATTGCTGGAGAGGGCCGGGCGCTGTCTTGGCCCCTGGAGTTGAGTCTGGAAGGCATGTCCCGACAGTGCCACTTGTAGTGAGATGTTCTTCCACCCGCAGGCATTGGGACGGGACCCATCCACCCTCACTGGGCCCTCACTGGGCCCTCACTCATCCCACACCACCAACCCGTCCATCACTTCTGAACAGCTATCTCCAGCTTATGGTGGTTGCCCGGCAATTTGCTGTGGGCAGTTCCATGGACCCCTCTCTCCAGCCCGAGGCCCTCCTGGGTGCTGCCAACCGTAGCTCATCCACCAGGGCACCTTGCACATTCCCAGGGGGTTGCCGTGAGCTGCTGTGGAGAAGAGGGTGCCCACTCCTGACCAACCCCACAGCCAGTTATGGGAACAGTCAGGACGCCACACTGTTTTCCAGGTTCTGAAGAACAGCAGCCATTTTTCTCATTTTAATTTAGTGGCAGGTACTCTGCAAATGCCCGTTCGTCGTACAGTGAAAAACTTAGGAAATGTCTGATTCAGATGAACAAGTTTCTTCTCAATTTTTCCATTTTTGGTTTTTTCTTTTCTCAGTGCTGGGGATTGTACCCAGGAGACTCTGCCACTGAGCTACATCCCTAGCCCTGTTTCCGTGGGGCAGGGGACAGTGTTTCACAAGGACAGCCAGTTGTGAAGTTGTGGTCTTCTGGCCTTAGCCTCCTGTGGGAGATGGTTTTCTTTTGCGATATCGGAATTAATGAGCCCAGTTGCTGAGTCCCTTGAGCAATGCAGGTCTGAGCAACAGAGATGAAACCGTTTCTTTTTCCTTTTTTTTAAGACTGGGCTAGGGCTCAGTGTTGGAGCATGTGCGAGGCACTGGGTTCAATTCTCAGCACCACATATAAATAAAGGTGCATTGACCACTAAAAAGAATTTTCAAAATAAGTTGCCTTCTGATGAAATTATAGTTTCAGAAACACATTTATAGAGTGACAGCATAATGATAAAACATGATCTCCTACCCCTCCACGAAACCTGTTAAAAACAGTTTGTTGGAAGCGCAGGAAGCAGAGGTGGGCAGTGCACACAGCGGCTTAACTAAGGACAAGGAGATTTTAAAATGGAAGGAGCATTTTGTGACACTTTATTTGCCCTTTCCTGCCCCCTCCCCAGTTCAGCCCCTTGAAGACCACTCTCAGTGTGGGTCATTGTCTCTGGTTCTGGAGGGGTAGACTGGGCCTCATTTGGAAATCACTGTATCTGTCCTAACACAAGAAGCCAGCGCAGAACCTGTTGGGCAGAAAAGCAAGATAGGTGTTGCTTCAAACAAAGGCGAGGCCATCACAGTCCAAGATGACGCTGAAACACAGGGACTGCTCTGAAACCCAGGAGGAAGGCTGGGCAAATGACAGCCACGCGTGCCCAATGGCAAGACACCAGGCAAATCCTGAGCCAAAGGGAACCTTTGCCAAGAGGCTGAGTGTCAAATGGAGCCACCCAGATCCCCGAGCAGAGCTGTAGCCGTGCTGGAGGTGTCTGCCGCTCCTGAGCAGGCAGAAGCGACCAGCAACCTCACGAACAGTGATGGACCACCAGTTGGGGAAGCAGAAGAGGTGGAGGAGGACGTCAGCGGAGCCCAGGTGCAGTCACAGCAGTCCCAGCAGACAGGGACAGGACAATCTGAAGAAAGCTGAAAAGGCTTGTGCGAGGAGCTGCGCAGACCCCTCCCAGGACAGATGAGCCCTCGGTGATGGCACACGGGAAGCCACAGAGAAGGAGGAGCCTCATCAGCTGAGCCTGCTTCCCATTTCAGACCGAGAGGCCGGAGAGCTGTGTCCACTGAGGTGCTGGAAGAGGGCAGAGCAGTCTTGATGAATAGTGGTGGCCAGTTGTCCTTCAAGAATAGATGAGGACATCATGCAAAACCACAAGGGGAAGTCACACTCTACCAGTGTGTAATGTCAGAGACACTATGCTCTCCTGTGTGACTGACAGGGACAAGTGAAGGCGAGAAGAAAGTGGGGTGGTGGCCCATGCCATAGTCCCAGTTACCCCCACAGTCCCAGCTACCCAGAACGAGGTGATGCATCCCAAGCTCAAAGCTAGCCTCATCAATTTAGTGAAACCCGGTCTCAAAATATAGAAAGGGACTGGGGATAAAGCTCAGGAGTAGAGCACCCGAGTTTAGTCCCCAGGACCATAAGAAAGGGAGAAAAAGCGTTTTTTTTTTTCTTTTTTCTTTTCTACCCTCTTGGCTATTTTCCATGTTTCTAAATGGATTATCTTTTTTCTAAATATACAAAATCATTTGTAAAACTTTCCCTTTGCCTGGTGCCTTTTGAGGATTATGCTATAGAGATTACTAACAATTCAATTCCTTTAATAGTATTTTTTAATACTTAATTTTTAGTTGGATACAATATCTTTATTTTTTTTTAATGTGGTGCTGAGGCTCAAACCCAGGGCCTCACACATGCTAGGCGAGCATGCACTCTACCGCTGAGCCCCAGCCCCAACCCCTTTAATAGTATTTTAAAGATTGTTGAGAACTGTCTCCTATAGTTGTCCATTTCATTTAGGGTAAATTAACATCACACTGCTAGATTCTACTTATTTAAAATCCTTATTATATCTGTACTTAAAATTTCCATTAAAAAAATATTCTTAGTTGTAAATGGATCTTTTATGTATTTGGATGTGTGCTGAGGATGGAACCCAGGGCCTCACACCGGACAGCAGGTGCTCACCCTGAGCCCCACCCAGTCCTGAATTCCCACTCTTAATGTCCCTCTGTCTGTGCCTTTTTCCCTTCATGTTTTGCCAGAAGTCTGCCTATTTTATTATTTTTTCCAGTCATAGCTATGGTTGGGTTGGATTTTTCTGCTCTGTACACGTGATGGTCCCCACTGCAGTGGCACTGGGAGCTGTGGAACCCGAGAGGCAGATCCTGGTTCACGTAGCTTGCCCTGGGAGGACGGGCAGGCTGCTCTTGCAGAGGGGTGCTGCTCAGGATGAGTGGCCCCAACTCTGGCCTCAGTCTCACCACGTTGACCTCTCCCTGTGGCACCCTTGCCTGCTGCTGTGACACCAGTCCTCATGACAACCAGATGGGCTGCCCAGTCTTGGGCTCTCAGCCTCAAGCTGTGAACCAGGTGCACCTCTTCCTAAGAGGGCTCTCCTATGTGGCAGCAGCAGCAGCAGAAATCAGACCCGTACATGGGGCTGGGCTGGGGCTCAGTGGTGAGCAGTTGCCTGGCACATGCAAGGCCCTGGGTTCCATCCTCAGCACCACATAAAAATACAGGCATAAAAAAAATACGGTGTCCATCCGCAGCCCAAACTTTTTTTAAAAATGGACTATACTTGGCTTTGGACTTTGCTCATCATCTGTTCTTTATTTTAATGGTTATATTTCATGTCCCCCTCATACCCATTACAAGGCAGCAAGCTGGCCCACCATGTTTCTGTGCAGTCTGGGGACCTCCGGCTCCTGGGTCCAGGGACAGTGTGTCACTTAGTGCTGCATCTGCGATTCTGAACCAGTTCCAGGGCCCACACTTCCTGCTGAGTGCAGTGAGCAGGGCCAGAAACACTGCCACAGCCACAGACAGAGGGAGGTCCTGCTGGGGGTACTGCAGAGGGAGACTGCTCAGCAGGCAGTCAGCTTTGCAGAGGGCTCGGCTGCTCCTCAGGCTGTCCAGGCTCAGCTCTGAGAAGCCAGTCCCAAATGAAATTCCTAGCAGCTGCACACCCACCCACACAGTGTCCCCCACACACACCTGGCAGCAGAGAGCATGTCCACCTGCACGGTGTCCCCACACACACCTGGACAGCAGGCATGTGCCCTCCTCCTCCACTAGTCTAGCTTCTCGTAGTTTTCAGTAAGTCTCGTGACTGTCAATAACCATGTTCCTAAGAGCCTGAAGGTTTGCTCAGTTCTAAATATCTAATTTCCATTCCACTTTGCATGTTGCTTAATTACTCAACATTGGTTAATTTTTATTTAAATTCCATTACCACCGAACAGGATTTCAACTCTATAGTCTTAATAAATGCCAGTGGCATTTTGGTCCAGTCTGTGGTCTTTCTGAGTGAAGAGCAATGCCCATGAAAGGAATGTGTATTCTTGTCATTGATTGAAGTCCATTTCACTGCTCAAGTGTCCTTATGTCTGCTTACACATCTATTCCAGAAAGGTACCCAACAGTCACCTTGAGAATCTCGTCCTTTACCCAAACTCCTTCCTGTTGGAAGCTGTAGTAGATGTAGAAACATCACCTTTCCTCTGGCAGACTCTTATCTACACAGTGTGATTTTCCTGTTTTCACTTTCTTCCTGTAATCAAACGCTTACAAGCAGGTCTTTTACTTAGTCAGATGATCTCTTCTTGTAATTGGAATATTTTTGTTCTTTGTTCCTTCTCTCCTGCCTAAATAATTTTAAAAATGTAATTATTTTCATTCAATTCCAAAGGTTTTCCTACTTGGGAGTTATTTTTTTTTTATTGTGGAAAAATATACATGTATTTACCATTTTAATTCCTGCAAGTGAAGAGTTCAGTGGCACTAAGCACATTCTGTTCTGAAACCGTGACCAACCATTTCTAAAGCTTCCCACTTCTGAAAACAGCTTTGTACTCCTTTGTTTAGGGTTTTCCTTATACACCATTTCTCCTTGCATAATGTGGAATAATATCCTTCTCTGTAATCCCAGAGGCTGGGAGGCTTGATAGTGAGTTCACATAGCTGTGAGACTCTCTAAATAAAATACAGAATAGGGCTGGGGATGCAACTCAGTGGGCAAGTGTCCCTCGGGTCCAAAAAAGAAAAGAATCTTCTTTTCAAGGTCTGAAACTATCATTTTGGGAGTGGGGAGCTTTAAAACTTATAAAACAGTGCTTGCTTCTTCTACCCACCAGTGGCTCCAGACTGCCCTGACTGCTTTTAACAACTTACGGATGCACCTCAGCCAGACACTGCTGGCTCCCCTCGGCTGGCAAGGCAGCCTGGCACCATCAGGTGCCAGGAGTAGTCAAAACCCCAAGCCCGAAGCAGTTTCTACTGCACAGGTGTCACTTTTGCAAACACCATCCCAGAGCTGAAAAGTCCCAAGGTGGACCAGCTGAAGTGGGGAGCTGCTTTTGGTATCTAGACTTACTACTCACACAAATCCACCCTGTGGGTTTTTGAACTGTCCTTGGTTTTCTTCAAGCTGATGTCTCTGTTGTCAAGCTCCCTGCCTTCCTTCAGCTGTCTCTGAGCCTGTTGTGTTCCCTTTCTGGCTGGCTGTTGTTGGACGCTGTACTCCATGGAACTTTCTCTGCCGTTTCCCACATGCTGAATTCCTAACTTGACCCCTCACATTTCATTTCAGGTAAGTTCTACTTTGCTTTTTTCTAGATTTTTCTTCCTGGTCATGTCTGGCAATCCCTTGTGCATGTTTCCCAGGCTCTTACAGCTTTAGACCTATTAGATATTTCAGAAGAAGCATCAGCTCATTTCAGAATCTGCAAGCCTCGCAAGTCTAATGACACAACTGGACGTTCCTCTCTTTCCTATGGTGGCTTTTTCCTTTGGTTCTAATAAACCTGCATTGCAGGCAGGTGGCCGCTTCCTTGTGCTGCCGCCACCTAAACAGATGAAGTGCTCTAGTTGGGCTTCTTATACCTGATGCTCTGCTGTTAGGTCCACGTTCTGAAACCTATGTCACCTTCCTTTGTAAACCCTCCCATGACAAAGGACTAGGAGAGAGACGACACGCCCCATCTCCCCTCGTTCCTTAAAGAGCCACTTAGCCAGGCCTCCAAGTTAACTGGTGGTCTTCCTTTGCAAGTGTGATTGTTTTCCCTTGAAATTCTGTGATAGCGCTGTGATACTCACTATGAAATGACTACAGCCCACTGTGCTTTGAAGAAGAGTTCTAACAGCCATCTCTCAAACCCACATTCGATAAACAGATGTGCTGAATCCACAAAGATAATGGCAATATCAAAATATTATATGAATATTTTAATGCAAAATGCTTAACACTTAAAATTAGCAAAGCTTCATTTAAATTAAAATTCCATGTAACTACAGATGGTTAGCCCAGAGTCGTACAGTAGTTGGCTTCTGCTCTATAATGCCAGTCCTATGCCACACAGAGGACTGCTCCTTTAGCTGTGGCTTCCTCCTGCATCCTAGACCCTGACCAGGTGGGAGGGTGGCCAGACAGACACGAGAGAAAGCTGACCAGTAAGCCCATAGCAATCCTAAGCTCATGGACCTGTCTGCACCCTCCCGACCCAGCTGGAAATGACCGTTGCAGAGTTGACAGGAGGCTCTGTTCGTACAGCTTGGTGAGAGTCCTGCACTAGGAGAGGAGTCACAGTATCAGGATGCACGTCTGTAAATAGTACTACATATACACACTTAGTGTCTGTAAACACTAGAAATATACATTAGACAGAGTACCCTCACAAGTCGGGTATAGTTTAAAAAAGAAGATGAGGTAACATGAAATCTCAAAGTCCACAGGAGTCCTGCCTGAAGAGTTTGAACAGCTGCCAGTAGTTCATTGCCAACATGCAGGGACTAAGGTCTGCTGAAGCTCGACTCGCTGGCCTTCAGCATAGCCACCGCATCTTTCACCGCATGGTAGATGACATTCTTCACCTGCAATAGCGGAAGCAAAGTGGATCACTCCACCACTCGGGCCACGATCCCTCACTACGCATCTATAGCCGCCCCCAGCAGTATCACCAAATACCAACGTTCATGTGAAATGCCAGCACCAGGAAAGGCCTGGGCTCCTTCAGAGCAGTGCCCGCCGCCTCTGGAAAACCTGGAGCCCACTCCATCTTCCCGCAGGCCAGGCAGTGCGAGGAAGGTTCCAAGGACAGCTCTGCCTTGACTTCTCCTCCCTTCCTTATTCCTACAGAACCAGGTACTTCCCCAGCTTCCCAGACCTGCAGCACTGCTGGAGCGGCCACCATCAGCCAGAGGTCCAGCTCTACTGCACCAGGTCTTGTGAGAGCCCTGGCTGGCAGCTGGGCGGCAGCCAGAAGTATACAAGCAGCCTTATCGCGGGCACAGTCCCTCCCAGAGTCTACGCTGCAACACAGCAAGTGAGGTCTCCTCTGGGCTGCTGTCACTCCACTGCAGACAAAGTGACTTTAACAGGCTGGGAAGCCAGCACCCACGAATGCCAGAAGCCAGGTCTGTTTTTACCTGTAATTTGTCTTCGTGGTTTGTATGAGTCTGCGACAGATAACGGAATTCCTGAGTGAGCCAGAAGCAGTGCTTCACGTGCTCTGGAGACACAAAGTCCTCGGCCACTTTGATGCAGCTGTACAAGTTGTGAACCTGGAACACACCGAGCCACATTAGTGCACATTCAAGTCCCTAGCAGAGAGAGCAGAAAGAGAAGCAGAGTGCTTGCCTGGTGCGGAGCTCCTGCTGGGATGAACACCACGTCCCCGAGGAACTGGACGATAGCCCAGCCCTGCACCCCATACTCCTGATGCAGGCGCTTTCTTAACGATCGGTCCAGATACCAGCTCTGGTCATGAATAGGATCATGGTCTGCTGGGTTCTCTTGACCTTGCTCTTCTGATACCTAGAATAAGAACATGAGCGACATGCTAAGACCCAAAGTGAGTGAGCCTCAGGCGTTCTTCAGCCTAAGTGCCCCACTGCAGAAAAAGAGGAGCAGTAATCAGACCTGGAATGAACCAACAAAAGAAAGACTGCACATGGCTGCTGCTTCCTGGTACTGGCAGTCTCTACATGTTCTTGGACCCACTAAATTCAGACATTTTTTGGCTTAGAACTTTTAAAGGTAAGTAGGTTCAAATTCCTTAGATAGAAACTTGTTTTACTGTCATTAAAGACCTACCTTTATTTAACAATCTGAGAGTTATCACACAGTCCTGAAGATGACCACACATCCAATTTATTCTAGACCCAGTATCTGGAAAAGTACATACAGAGTGACGCTACGGGGAACAATAAGGTGACCAGCATGTTTAGAAAAGCCAAACGGTCCTTGTCCAGGAACAGCTCAGGGCCTGCCTAGTGCCAGGCAGTAGGCCCAGTGGCTCAGGTCCATGCCTCATGGACAAGGGAGACCACCAGCCAAGGACACCTGGGTCACAACCAGTAACCTCAGTGCCAGCCAAGTTTAAAACCAAGTAAGCCCCAACTTTCCAACTTCCACACAGAGCCCTGCCTAAAAGACACAGAAACTTCAGAAGCCTGGAGCCTTCCAGGACCCTGCAGTCCCTGGCTAATGAACACAAGTAGGGCCCTGCACCAAGTGACAGTGGACAAATCAACAGGGACCTTAGTAATGCACTCAGAACAAGGAAGCTAGGGGCCACGGTCTCTACCCAGTGCTCAGATTACAACACAATGGAAATAAATGGATGCTCAGAGGTGAGTAGAGTCTGAACAGAGCTCTCCAAGCGCTATCATTAAAACAGAAGGACAGGCCCCCTCGCCACAACCCTGCCAGCCAGGTCAGCTCACCACACAAGGACTTCCAACATGGCCACACGTGAGCCTCTCCTCACACACCTTTTTAAGGAATTCTCTTATTTTCTCTGTGTCCTTCGCAGCGTAGATGTGCCAGAGGGCTCCTGGCTTCTCTTTTCCTTCAATAAACCGCTTTATAGTGAGTTCATCAGAGTCTCCATCTTGGATGGTCCTGAGGACTTCTGGAGCAAAGGAAAGTAGGTGATCAGACCACAAACCCGGCTCGGACTGGGACAGTTGGCCCTACCCGGTGTGCAGCCCTACCTTCTTCCTGCTCACACTGCCCTTTGGGGATGCCCACATAGACCATGACGTTAGCAGCGTCAGAAACGTCCAGGTGCAGGTTTGTTGTTCCGTATTTCCGATCTTCTGGAGTGATTAATCCTGCAGAAAAAAGACACTGAGGACAAATGCTGGGAGATGCCTGGGAATAAGCTCGCTCTCTCATCCTCAAAAGTAACAACACTCAAGGGATGGAGCTGTCCTCTCCTTTAAAAAGGACTCTCTTATCAGATATTTAATTACAAGATTATACATCCACAAATCCTAAGACTTGTTTCCAGTGACAAGCAAAGGAGGTCCCTGATAAGAGCTTCATGCTTGAAATGAAATTATGGAAAAAAACTGCAGGCCTAAAGGGGGTACCCAGGACCCAACCTAGACGGCACAAGCTAAGTGGCAGAGCCGACTCCCAGGCCAGGGCAGCTGGAGCTCCGGGTGTTATATGGCCTGGGACCAAGAGCCAGCACCACTTCTCATGGCGCCTGCTGGAAGCTGCCCGCTCCCACATACTGCTGGATCCAAGGGAGGACACTGCCTGATACACTCACTGGGCCAGAGTGCGGCCCCCTCCTGTGTCCAGTGCTTCCGGAGCAAAGGCTGTGGGCTGTCCCAACAGCCTGTGTGGCCTGGAGGCCTTGACCCCTGGCTTGCCTGGGGCTGGACTTGTGGGCAAGTCTCCAAATGCCCATCTGGGGCAAGAGCCCTGACATGCCCTGCTGCCTCTGCAACTTGCTGAACATCAGCCCCAGGCACAGAGGAAGTGCTGAGTGTCAGGGGGAACTCAGAAGACAGAGAAATTCACTTTAAAATGGCAAAGGGAAAATATCAAGAGAACCACTGTTCTACACTCTCATGTTCTCAATGTATTTGGAAAATATTTCCAGAATAAAAAGTAAAAAAATGTCAATTTTAAGAAGAGCCATTAACCTACTAGAAATGAAATGAAGGTTCTATCTGATGGCACGAGCCAGTGCCACAAAGTCTGATTCTACTTGCTGTTTGAAAAGTCAAGGAGCAGCGTTCAGGAAGATGACACACGTGCAGTGCACCTAGGACACTAGGAACCACCAGCACAGGCTCCTGGACAGTGGCCAGGACCTAGGGCGGGAGAGTGAGCTAGAGCCAGTCAGTCCCAGCAGGGCTGCTTGCTGGCCTGTCCAGGGCCACACTGGGTAAAGTGAGACCTGCCCAGCCACTGGCCCCAAGACTGCAACCACAGTAACAACGCCAGACTCTCAACTGAGATTATAAAAACTAACGGTCACAGGGAAAGGGCTCCCAGAACAACTAAAGATTGATACCAAAAAAAAACACACAAAAACTTTCATGAGCCCAAGTTCTAGTCTCTGACTCGCCAATCGCTTCTGAGATTCTGAGGACATTGTCCCTTCTACTGTTCCAAAATCCTTGTCCCTATTTGGAAAATTGGGGGTCTTGCAGCTAGAGAGAGCCTGTACCCTCTCCTTTGAGCAGCCATGACCTAACCCGTGGACGATGACAGCTGTATACCAATGCTGATGGCCAGGTGTCAGGAGTGAGTAGAGACATGTCTGCCTTCTTTCAGCGCCTGCTGCCTGCTTTAGGGAGGGTACAACTGTGTCAGGGGAAGAGCTCTGACAGAATGACACTGCCAACAGTCAGTGACTAGGAAGAAAACACCCACAGCTATGCTATTTAAACCAAGCAGGTGTATTCTTAAAAGGTAGCCACCTCACACCTTGGCTGTGACAGTGAATCACACAGGACAGGAACAAGGAGAGAGGGGAAGCCCGAGGGTCAGGTGCTGCTGTGCTAAGGGTGGTGTTCTCTCCCCCTGAAAAGCAGCCTCAAGGTTTGGATTCGGTCTGTCTTAACTTGTGAGTTAGCGTCTCCTCCTTACCATAAGCATTATACATCTTGGGACCCAGATCAGGCCGAACAAAGTAGTTTGGCAATCTAGAGGCCAAGTTCAATTTGCCGTCTCGCCTGGTGTACTCGGGCAGCGGAATGTTGGCCATCAGGTCATCGAACCTAGGACAAGAAAGCCAGGATTTCGCAAAACAAGCCTGCCATGTTTGTCGCACAATGTGCAACGTGAACAGAACAAAGGTGTGTGGGTGACCCTGAGGCTGGGGAGAGTGGTCATGGAGACTTAAGGTCAGCACTGTAGCAGTCATAAACAGAGAGGCCTTCCTCTCCCACCACAGGATGTGTCAACTACCCGTTCAACTCCGAGCCCTGGCACAGCAGCGCCTGTGACCGTGCAGCACAGCCTGTGCACCTCGTGGGCCTCGTCTCTGGCATGGCACTGGGTGTGTGCACCAGTCCTAGGCACCTCGACTTCATCTCACTTAAAAACACTTCCTCTCCAAAGGGTCTAGCCAGGATAACAGCCAGCACCAAAAAAGCCACGAATTCCATGTTTCCCTAAACCCACTCCTCGTCACCTCAAGAACTCATCCCGCCAAGTCCAGGAGGCAGCCCTCTGCCTGCCGCCGTGGCCATACCTGGACGGCATCATGTCCCTGAAATCTTCTCCTGGTGGCCAGTCCTTAAGTTTCAAAACCATCGGTTCTTTTTCGTTTTTCAAACGATCTGTAAAGGAACCAGAATAAGCGAGCCATTATTCATGATTCAGACCAAAATCAATGACAAATTCATATTTTATGCTTCAACAATACAAATAATACAGTTTCATCTCGGTAGACGCTTCACAACCCGCTCCATTTAGAACACAAATACTGCTTTTCTCTAATGTCCCCACCTGCCAGTTGCCAATCATTTCTAAATGGTCAAAAAATCCATTTGTACTCTCAGGGCAGCAAAATAAAAGATCAGTAGTTAATTTGTATTAGGTCCCGTCTTTTGATGCTGCTCATTCTTTGAAATCCAGCCACTCCTCATGCCCATGACGTGTGGAACGAAACGTGTTTCTACAGTGACCCTCAGGGACCCCGTCTGCTGCTCAACCACAGGTGACTAGCAAGCTCGGTTTCCGAAGCCAGCATCACACAGAAATGACCAGCTCTGCTGAGACTGAGGCCATCCTGCTCTATGGACCAGGACCAGCTGGCCATCCCCCGTCATATTCTGGGTGACAAAGTGTATCACACTAGTCCCTGTAATACAACTAAAGTCCATTGGGAGAAGAAAGGGAGGAGGACAGAGGCTCAGTCCTCGACTCCCTGCTGCTCCTGTCTCCTTCCACATCCCTGACATGTCTTTAGTACATACTTGGGACATCCTCAAAGCCGTCCCAGAAGTCGCCTACTGTGGCTCCCGTGATGATTTCGTTGGTCCTGCAGTTCACGAGATCCACTTCCTGCTCCCCAAACTCTTTCCTGAAGGACTCGGGTTTCCAGAGTTCGGCGTTCAGTCTGTGGTGCACTCCTGAGACCATCACGGGCTACGGAGAGGGAGGAGGCTTAGCACACCCCCAGCTGTCCCCAGCTGCTGTTGGTCCTGGTCTCAGGGAAGCCACAGCAGCTCCTATGTGACAGCCCTGCCTTCCAACCACATCAGGAAGCTCCAGGAGAAAGGACCCCCCCGTCGCACTCCAAGAACACCCCATGCCAAGGCCAGGGGGCAGCATGGGATGTGAAGGAGATAAAGCCGGTGGGCGCCAGCCTACGCTCCAGCCTATCCTCACCACACTGGACACAGACCTGAGGCTGCCAAGTCCTGGTTGTTGGAGACAAGTCAGAATCCTGAGCTTTCTGTGCAGTCCTGATGTTAATGTAAAACCATGATGTGTATATATATAAGCCAAACAAAACCTGCCGCTGCCTAGGGCACCTGCCTGCCACCCCAGCCTCTGGGAGGATGAGTGAGCAGTCCTGGGAGGTGGGACACACAGGGTGGAAAAGCACTATGAGAATGGGCAAGCCACGTTTTGGTACTTGGCATTTCCCACAAATTCTTGCCCAAGAGCAATGTTCCTTTGGTGAATACTCCGGTTTGGCCAAAAAGAAAAGCCAAAGATACAGAAAATAGAACCAAAACGACGTAAGCACAGCCTAGGCTCAAGGCCAGGCACCTTCTGCACACTCCAGCTGCAGATCCAGCAACCACACCTGGGGGACTCTCACCAGGTATAAGATGCTGTTGCTACTACTGCTGCTGCTACTCGGCGCCCACCCTAGGACAGCTGTCAGCTTCCCTCCATGGAAGAGTTTGCTCAGTTTTATGCTGTCCTGTCACTCCTTCAAACTCCCAAACAGCCCACCTTCCCTGAGGCTCACAAGGCTTGGCTGCTCTCATCAAAACCCAACAATGGGGCCAGGTGTGGTGGCGCACACCTGCCTTCCCCTCGGCTCCAGAGACTGAGGCAGGAGGATCACAGGTTCCAAGCCAGCCTCAACAACTGAGAGAGACCCTGTCTCTAAATAAAATTTAAAAAGGGCTGGGGGACTGGAGTTGTGGCTCAGTGGTAGAGTGCTTGCCTAGCTTGTGAGAGGCACTGGGTTTGATTCTCGCCACTATATGCAAATAAATAAAATAAAGGCCCATCAACAACAAAAAAATTTTTTTAAAGGTGGGTGCTGGGGATGTGGCTCAATGTTCCAAGTACCCCTGGGTTCAATCCCCAATGCCAAGGGAGCCAAAAAGAGGGGCTGTGACTGGTTGGTGTTACCTGCCCTTGCTTCCAGCACTCCCTGAACACGTTCCAGTTGCTCTTGTTGTTGGGGTCCTGCAGGCACAGCAAGCGGTTGTCGCAGAGCCAGTAGTGGGGAGTGTCAAAGCCCATAATGCTGGGCTTGATCGTCAGTCCTTGAGGCCTCTTAGACAAGTCAGAGGAACTCTTGTTTTGCACCAAAGAGGCAAAGATGTCATCAAGGATTTTTGGTGTATTCTTGAGTCCATTTTCTGTCTGAATTTAGGAAAGAACACAAGTCTTTTAAGTGTGCCATTCCCCATCATCAAAAAGTCCCCTTCCTAAAGATAGGATTAGCACCTATCAGTGTATGCTCAGAGCCCAAGCCAGAACCCCCAGGTAAAGAAGCAAGTCCCTTGTTCCCACTTGGGTACAGGAGAAAGTATATGTAATCGGAGAAAGTGGTCCTGCCCTGTGGAAGTCCATCTGCCAATGACCCAGCCTCCTGTCCCCACAAAGGTTAAGTATGTGATTTATGTCCTTCTACTTCTACCCACTTGGTTTCTCTCAATATCTTCCTGTCTGTCTCCATGCAACTTTGTAAAGCAGATGCACACAATAAAGCAAACACATACCTTTCCTGAGGAGGAATTCAGGAGATTTCGGAGGAAACCAGAATTATTGTTGCTTACAGGTGTCAAGATGGTGCTGTTAAAGGTGTGAAGGACTGTGCTGGATTTGCTCAGAGGCGGGAGGGGTGGAAGGCATTTGATTTCATTCTTTAAAATTGGCATTGTAGGTTGTTTTTCTAAAACCAAACCAAAAAAATCCAGATTTAACAGCATTCTGAAAGGCAACTCTTAGCAATCTTCTAGTAACAATTATTTTAAAACTTGGGTTTTTGAGGGGTATGGTGGTATACGCCTATAATCCCAGCAACTCAGGAAGCTGAAGTAGGAGGATAATAAGTTCAAGGCCAGCCTCAACCGCCTTAAAATAGAAAAGGCTGGGGATGCCGCGGTTCAGTGGTAAAAAGCACCCCTGGTTAAGTCCCTGGTACCAAAACACACACACAAACCAACAAAAATCTTGGTTTTCATTTTGTAGAACAAAGAAAAATTTAAGGGGATAAATACCAATGATATTAAAGATTTCCCAATAAATATTAAAACAATATCTAGTACCCAGGCTAAACTAAGGAAAATGGCATTTTTTAAACTTTGACTTCTGTTTCTGTTATGCAAATAAAATGTACTGTTGTTAATTCACCCTGTTATTCAGCAACACTAATGTGTATTGCAAATGTAGATTCTTTTGAACTTTTCACATGTACTGTTAACAAATATTGACCATTTATTGATTCCTTTCATATTTTCTTGATTTCTCTTATTCGAGCCTTAGTGCACTGGCCAGGGTTCCTGATTGACAAAGTTAATGACAACTGACACCTTTGTCTCATCCCTGAACAAAGGAAACTATCAAAACAATTTTTTTCAAATTTAAGCCAGGCATGGTGGTGTGGGCCTGTGGTTCCAGCTACTCAGGAGGCTGAGGCAAGAAGAATCACTTACACCCAGGCGCTTGATGCCAGCTGGGCTCCACAGCGGAGACCCCATCTCTCATTAAAAAAAAAAAAAAAAAAAAATTCAATGTTCAGGGTGTTTTTTAAAAAATTTATAATGAGATTTAAGCTTTACACAGAGTTTTTCTGTGTCTCATCACACAATTTTCCCCTTATATTTTGGGATGTTAAACCATACCTTGTATTTCTGGAAGACCCTGCTTAGAGATTATATATAAATATATATTAAGTCCCTTTATTTATGGTGTCAAACTTGAGTCACCACATTTAAGGATGTTTCACATTAAAGAAATTAGCCAGAGACAGAATCACCTAGATTTTAACCTAAGCCTACCTTATCCCAAAGTCCACATTCTTTTTATTTTCATCAGCATCCTGAAACACTGGTGACAAAAATGGAACTGAAGATGGCACATTCCAGTGAGGTACAACAGAAACCAAGCACCATGTGGTGAGGAGAAGAGCTGGGGGCAGGTTGTCACTGTACTACAGTCTTAGCACCATGCGCCCCTCCCGCCTCCCACCCCCCACCCCCACCCCACCCCCAAGCCTTGGGAGCTGACTGCAAACACACCTTCCGTACGGTTGCAGGAACACGTCCTCTCCCGAGACTTCCAACCACTGTCTCCCCACAGTGAGACTGCAGAGCCCTCCACGAGTGACTCAGTCCTCAGGAACACTCACCCTTGTTCTCCTTGTTGACGTTCCCGCTGGTCAGGTCTGCCAGCCAGTTGAGTGGAGCCGTGCTGGCTGGACAGGCAGGCCTCACGCTGCAGGCTGGCCTGGAAGCTGCTTCTCCACTTGAGGCCACCGGCTCCAACACTGAGGGGCTCTGCGGGAGCATAGCACCCAGAGTCAGTTTTTCGCCAACTAAGGAAGTCTGTATGAGTACAAAAGGGGAGTTTTGTTTAGGCTGAAGAATGGCAATTCCCTTTTCTTAATCTTCTCCCTCTCCCCAGTAGCCATTAGTAAGAGAAGTTTCCAGAACAAAGCTACCTAATGAGTTGCCCCAGCTATCCTAGGGCTTCAGCAACCCTTCAACAGACAGGGAGCAGGGCTGCTGCACAGAGCTTCTGAGGACTAGCAGTGGGAAGGAAGACCTCATGACCACCCCACACACAGGCATTTCCCGCCACCCTCCAACCCAGCCAGGTTCGCCCATGTCTCCACCATCCCATACACCATGTGGCTTTGACGGGATGGTCTGTGCCTGTCTCCCTGAGAATCCAGCCAGACGAGGCACACAAAACACGGCTATTGGGTAAATAAGTGAGGTAGGCAGGAAAGGAAACGAGTTTGAGAGGGAATGTGCTCTTCTGGTTTAGCTGTAAGAGGTGAGGAGATTAACAGCTCTTGAGAAACATCAAGAGGACTATCAAGAGGAGGAGCCAGCCCACTTACTCCTCTGGGACCTAAGAAACCATCTGGTTGGCCCCAGAGAGGGAGAGAAGTTCCTGTGCTGGTCCACCCTCCCTGCACATGAGACACGCTGGCAATGCCCAGTGACTGCTACTGGTTGTCATTTCTGACACCCTAGCGAGCAATCACCTTGTGGGCAAAAATGTAACAACGTAAAAGCAGCGGAAATGGCAAAGATCCCAACTCCTCCAACTGAGAGTATAAAAGAATTTTGGATTCCTAAAGAACAAGAATGATGAGGCGAGAAAGGAGAGCCAGAGACAGAGTGACGGACGGCAGGGACGAGGGAAGCCTGCAGGAAGGGGCACCACTCCTTGCACTGTTCAGTTACATCAGAGGTAAAATACAGCTGGTAATTTAACACTCCATGAAGTCTGAGTCATTTAGTTCTGCAGAACATGAACACCTTTTAGAAACCCACACAAATTTGACAGCAATTTGTTGGGTAGACTACAGCACAAATTTTTCCTTTATCAAACAAAAGAAAAAAAACTAAAATCTACTAAGAGCCACCTGGTGACTAAGAGCAACAGGAGGAATGGGAAGGGTGGGTCTCTGAACAGCCACAGGCCCGTGTTCCTGTCAAATGCACTGCCAGGAATGCTTGGCTTATTTGAAAATAGACCATCAACAATTACAAGGACGATGAATCTAGCAGAAGCAGTAATACCTGTTTTAGGTCTTCCTTTGAGGCTGGCTTTGAGAAGAGTTTGAACTGCCTGTTTGAACAGGGGCAGTTTGCCTTTATCCCCCATTTGGCTCTTACAGAATGCACAATGTCACCAACATCGTAGAGTGCTAAGAAAACACAAGGGCAGAGGTGACATCTCAACAGGGTGCCAGTGCCTTCGAGCTCACCCAGCAGCACAGAGACCCAGTGTGCACAAGTACCCCTCCTTCTCCCAACAACTCCAAGCACCTCTGTCTTCCTCTATGAAACTATTCACAGGGCAGCGCTGCCCACAGAGTAAACCAACCACCAGTCCCTCGCCAGCCAAGACCCAGGGGAAGAGCCCCCGCACCGCACAGTACCTTTTCCAGGAATGATCTGCGTGGGCATCAGGTTCTCAGGCTCATGTATCTGACTCTTCACACATCTTAGCCAAGAGAATGTCTTGTAGGCAGCACCTGCAAATAATACCGCACTATGGTGACCATCTGCATGGCCCCAGGCCCCAGGGTCCCCAGCGTCATCAGCAGAAGGCTCCTCAAGGCGGGGGTGTCGGGTCAGCTCTCACCCTGCTGGCAGTTCTTCCTCTTCATGCGATAGCAATCCACACACACCCCGAACCCACAGCGAGGGCACACCCAGTGCAAGTTGAAGATGGTGGTGTCACACACGTCACACATTTCCCGGACTCCTTTGACTGCTCGCTTCCAGGCAACCTGCCCTGCAAGGATCAAGAGATCAGTCAGTCCTGTGGGGAAAAGGGGTTCCGAAATCAGTGAGTGCCAAGATGGGCCGTCAGTAGTCCTCCCTGCGTGCTCCAGCAAGCCTCAGCATCCTGCACCGCAGCTCTGCCTCTGAGGCCAAACTGCACTCCACAGAAACCCTGCCCAGGCTGTGCAGCAGCTGCTCCACCAGCCACAGCGCAGCACTGGTGCCCTCCGCAGCTGTGCCTAAGCTTTCTGTTCGAAAGCTCCTGTGTGGAGGCAGCATGAAACGGGCTTCCTCCAGGGGAAAAGCAACCTGCTCAGACACACACACAACCCTCGGGATACTCACAGCTGCCTTCAATCTACTCACTGCCCATTAAATGCTCCAGTGTATCTAAGGGCCTCCAAGGAACAGGCCTATGTACACAGTCAGGTCCTTGACTCTGTCCTGTCAGTGATACCAGGCCCAGGACTAACTCACACTACCACATGCCCAGCAGCTGGAGGCAACCTAGGAACCTACAAAGAGGCTCTCTCCTGGTAATCAGAAGGAGGGTCCTTCTAGGTCTGGGCATGGGCTGCCTGCCCAGCCTGACGCTAACAGAAAGCTGAAGGAGTAGGAGCAAAGCAGGCATTGTTCCAAGTCACAGGAAAGCCCACTACCGTGACTGACTCAGCCAGCCTGCCCCCTCCCCAAGCAGCCCTGAGCTGACGCGGCTGCACTCTCATTCTGTGGAGAGGACCTCTTCCTGATCCAGTCTATGGTGGATGCATTATTTCTTCCAGAATGATTGTACAGCCCAAATGACCCCAACTGCTGAGTAAATCTCTGCTGTTTCACCCATGCAAGAGCTCTAAGCACTTCACAAATGCGATCTCTGAACTATACTTTGGTCACTTGGACTAGACTGTTTTATTACAAAGTATTCTTAAAACTCAGCCACCAGTCCCATGGTTATCTGTCACTGAAACGACGTAACTAGAAGAGCTCCCATCTGACAGTGGAAATGTGCTCCTCGTGTCAGGATGGTGACAGCCCTCAGCTAAAGCAGCAGCTTTCAGCACCTCTCAGGGAGGAGGCCCCTCCCATCGACCAGTACATCATAGAGGAGGGAAGAAGACAGGACCATCACAGGCAAGGAGGAGAGGATCCTCAGGAGGGGAAGAGCCCTTACGTACATCTTAAAAGGAAGATATGTGTGCAACAAAACATCCTCAGAACAGAAAACCAGCACTGCCTCCAATAGCCCTGCGGCCTGAGGAGGGAAGCGGCTGCGTGTGCCAAGGACGGCTGCTCCTTGCAGTCTTCGCACCACTGCGCACAGCTGCTAAAGGAATTTCTTTAAATCAACTACTTTTACCCAAATGTATTAAGGAAAATTTTCTGAAAAGGGAAGAGGTTTTTTTTGTTTTAATCACTTGTCCTAAAGACATCACAGGGAATGAGATCTTGATTTCTGATTCTCCACTATCCAATTAAATGGCATGATGTTAAAGCCACTCTTCATCAGTGTGGTCCAGTTCTGCAGTGGCTCAGACCCCTGACCCACTTTCAGATTCCAACTGCTGGTTTCTATTCCTTGGACTCCAGAGAAATAATCTTCATTCCCTAATAACATTTCTGTGCTTAAGCTACCTTTGTTAACATCCAGTAGTTAAGAACTTTGGTGGTGGTTAACTTCTGCAGATGCTTGTATTCAAACACGCTTGGTTATGCGAGTGAGAAGGCTTCCCTGTTAACTTTCAACTATGTGGCAAAGAAAATGTGGAAGAGGACATAACACAGCCTTACAAGACGGACACCCTGGTGCTTCTACAGAGCAAAAGGGCAGGGCTAGGTGTGCTCTCCTCCTAGACATCCTACCTTGAGATGTCACCAAGGAGGTCTGGCTCTATTGGGTCACCCACCCTGGCCCCTGGGGCTTGGTGGGCTATGTCCAACACTAACCTTCAAGTGTCCCCTCCAAATTCTGCTCTGACAATCACTTCTAACCACAGCTTGTTCCCATTCTCAGGCATGGAACCAGCTCACCCTGGTCCTCAGGAGGGTTAGAGAATAGCCTGTCCATTTTTCCTGATTACATAGCCATCTGAGGCCTCCTCACCCTTGGTGAGCCTGCACTCCTAGGGAGGAGCTTCTTCAGACTCTGAAGAAGCTAGCCATGGAAGGAAAAAGGCCACCTAATCCTCTCAGTGAAAATGAAACCATGCACTGAGACTTTGGTGTTACCTCAGAAACAAAAATCAAGTTGGACTCGAAAATCCTACCCCCTAAGAGATGCTCTTACTGTGTGGCTCAATAGTTGACATAGCTTCCTTTTCAGAAATCACCATTTGACAGAAGTGGTCTCCAATGTTGGCCAGGATGTACTTGGCTGTGTCCAAATCCGTCCCAACGACATTTCTGGTCAGAGGTAGCCACAAGCCAATTGCTTCACTGTCATATTTGTTTGGTGTTAAGAAGCCTTCTACCCGCAACACACCATGTTTGTTGAATTGCAACCTACGGAAAGTAGAAAACACACAAAACTGATTCACAGCTTGTAATTACAATTTAAATCAATAAAATCCTTCAAGGTCTTCTGTAATTTCCATGATTAATTACAGCCAATTATTTGTGAATGCCAACAGAAAGATAAAACACTTGTATTTTTTCTTCCACAAGGAAAGCCTGAGAGGACTAGGAGAGGTGCATTCTGCATTCAAACCAAAACAGAGCCACACTCCCTCCACAGAGGCAGCTCAGCCTGCTGGGCATAGGACTTCACAGTAAGGACAGTCACCAGTCATCAGAAGATGATAATCTGATCAGATTTGAATACCTCCACTGTTTTCAGAATAATGCTCAGCTCAGCAAGAAAAGGCTCCTCAGTTGCTGAAGCAAGGCCACATGGACCTGGGAGGGGTTGTGCACCCACCAGAGCCCCTGTTGTGTTATCTCTGTTGTGAGAGGAAGCATGAGAGGGGCCTCAGGTGCTCCAGAAGTAGGGAAAAGGCAGAGAACTTGCCCAGAACTCACTCAATTTCCTATCATACTTGGCTTTTTCATGAGCTTTGTGTTAGTTTTGATCTTTTTAGTTGGAGACATAAGAAACTGACCCAAAATGCACACCAGATGTGACAGATGTTGTGACAGTCACTAAGTGCTAAGAGTTCTGTGGGACTCATGGTGAAGCCGCCTCCCTCATAGAAATAGTAACTGAGCTTCCCTTGTCACAAATGGTAAATAGTAGGTAAGAGAGGGTTATGTTCAGGAAACAGTGCTTCATACAAGAAGAAAAGCAGGTGAATTGGGTGACAAGAGACCAATAAGATTAAACCAGAGTTTATTCCCGAGGTGAGAATCCAGAGAGGAATGCTGGGTCAACTACTACAGGCCTTCAGCATGCTGCTGGGCACCCAGACCTCCTCCACTAGGCACTGGGGACCTAGCAAGACTCCTTGAGCCTGGGAGACAAACAAAGTGTGTTCTAGAAAAATCACCTGTCCAAAAGAGTGCAGGGTAAGCAAGACAAGACAATAGGAGCTGCATAACAGATAAACTTGCTTCAAGCAATCCAAAGAAGAGTTGCAAGGTTTAGTTAAAACAGCCCAAATTAGAGAGTCATGACACTAAAACAAGTATGAAAGCCATTTCAAAGGGGGGAGCTAATGACAACGGGACGTGGCAACTATGCCTTATAACTGAGACTCGGCCTCTACTTCTGTTTGATCTGTAGAAAAGCCGAATGGGAAATATTTGAGGAGGTGGCCAAGGACAGCTTTAATCTACTCTTCTCCAAGCAACAGGGGAAAGTTAATTATGACATTCTTTTACAAAAAGAGTGACTGTGTTCTAGTTTCAACTAGAGTGGCTTTATTATAACACTAAGCAAAGGCACCTCCCCCTTAAATTAAAAAAAAAAAAGGAAAACAGCTAAATAACAGCATCAATGATTTTTAGATTGTTTCAGAACAGTGATTTTTTAAAGAAAAAAAGCTCTGATACTATTACATAGAACAACAAAGTGATCCCCTCCCTAAAAAGCCTTGGCAACTTCCCTCTCCCTTGCTCCAGTTACCACTTTTCACAGCAAGAGCCAGCAAAGTGCTAACAAAGACCTGGAGGAAGCACAATCATTCTGCGGTTTCTCCAAAATATACACAAGTGCAAATGCAAAAGCACCTTTACTGTACACAGAAAGCCTCCTGAGAGGAAGTGGAACAAAGCTGACCTGACTAGGAACAGCCTGGACCAGACACCATGCAGGATGCCTGTGTCTGCACCACAGCACTGCAACACACTCCACTGTCTGCACTTGTGACTCACTCAGCAGTGAAGGGCAAGCCAGTAGCCAGGAACTGGATTTCATTACAATAGCCTGAACCTGAGAGCACCGGCAGCTCACCTCGCTGGTGTCCTGCATGTGCTGCTTTGAATAGAACGATCCTTAAATACTGAAATTACTTGTGCACTTCATTCAGCTTATCAACCACCTTTTAACTTAAGATTTTAAGTTAAATTTTAACTTTGAATGAAAGAGCAGGAAAAAAGGAAGAAATTAAAAATCAACACTTGTTTGCAATTATATCTGTTGGACCTGAAAATATCTAAATTATGAAAAACTGGATTATATCCAAAGTTCATCAGTACCGGAACCATCACCATTTGTGTCTCAATGAAAGAAAAAAGAAGGATGTCCTTTGCTTCACTCAGGCAGAAGAATTTACAGAAAAGGAACTTGACTCATGAAAAAATACAATATAAACATGAAAGCTTTGTCTATTGAGATTTTTCACAAGACATGCCTTCTCTGGTAAAGGAAATTACAAGCAGGCCTGAATCCCACCAGTGGGCAAAAACACAGCTGACGGTTCCAGGAGGGCAACGTGGCAGGACAAATGCCAAGGTCTTGCACACACACCTCTAACCTAGCAATGCCACTTCCTACAATCCTTGCAAAGTACAGCCAGAGACACGGACAAGAAGATGTCAGCTCCATGTTATTTCTAGTGGCAAAAAATGAAAAGTCATCTTAATATATCAACAAAGGAGTTGCTGAGATGGGATATCAAGCATTGCTACAATGGGTTCTTAGGCAGAAATGTATAAGTATTTGTAGAAAAGAATGAATGTGAACAAGAGGTTCCTCCTGGGCATTGGAAAATAAATCCAAAATAGTCCATGCAATGTACTAATTGGATGGGCCTGAACCCTGCCAGTGCACATTCCTTATTTGTGGTGGATTTTCAGAACCTTCAGCATTTTTCTACAATGACAGTACTTTTAGAAATAAAAACGTGTACTTCTAAGCTTCTCAGCTTCATTTGAAAAATAAGATGTGGTGGTGCACGCCTATAATCCAGCTACTGGGAAGGCTATGGCGGGTAGATCACAAATTTGGGGCTAGCCTGGGTAATTTAATGAGAGTCCCTGCCTAAAAAAGAAAAAGAAAGAAAAAGAAACAAAGAAACAAACAAAATAATATGCAGAAAGCTCTAGATTAATGCTCATAGATTAGAAATGCAACCACTACCTTCTTAGTTCTAGCTCTGCTACGAACAGAAAAAGAAAAGTGCACAAGTGGGCCCAGACGCCATGCACTCTCTCCCAGGCCTCACCTCCTGAAGTGGAAGAAGCGGCAGAACACAGGTGAGTCCTTCTGCTGCTCTTTGTCCTTACGAAGGCTGTCCAGACGACACTCCCGGCACTTGGGCAGCTGAGCCACGATGTTCACACAGGAGTCGTCCTGCACAAAGGCCTCACCGCTCTGCTGTAGCTTCTTGAGTTTAGCAGGATCTGTCAAAACTGACTTCCGGGCTGGTACTAGGAAAGAAAAAGATCAAGGAAACAGAATCTCAAATTTTTGGATATCACATCAATATTTGGTTAAATTCTACTCATTAAGCCAATATTCACAAAGAAAGGACTCCTCCTCTCCACTCCTGGTTCAGAGGTAATGTCAGGAACATGGCTGACAGCAGACACCAGAGAACAACTGGAAGGTGCTCTTCTCTCCAGGTCGGCACACTCTCCTTTCACAACCTGGACAGCGGGAATGCCAGAGTAGCACTGCGAGGCAGAGGCCTCAAGCAAGCTCACTGCAGTACTAGCAGTACAGGTGGGCACACCTCTCCAGAAGACCGAAGTCAAGGTCACTCTGCCCCTTTCACACTCAAGAGAGGCTGGTTTTAGGAGGGTTCGGTGGCAAACTGTTTGTAATCCCAGGGGCTGAGGCAGGAGGATCGTGAGATCAAAGCTAGCCTCAGCAAAAGCAAGGCACTAAGCAACTCAGTGAGACCCTGTTTCTAAATAAAATACAATAGGGCTGGGAATGTGGCTCAGTGGGTGAGTGCCCCTGAGTTTAATTCCTGGTACCAGTACCCCCACAAAAAAAGAGAGTCTAGTTTTAAGATGAGTTTTTTACAGCACTCTTTTAACAAAAGTGAACCAATCACTTTCCTACACAGATCCTTGGCCTACAAAGTAAGGGCTATTTTCTAAGGGCATTTAAAGACAGCACTTAACTCCTGACATGTCTTCAATTCCCTGCACACACATGCTCCCCTCAGCAGACAGGATTGTGGGTAAGCTCGCTCAGGTGAGTTCTAACCTGTGATGGGTAGGAACTGGAGAAGAGATGTTAACAAGGTCCTTACAGAAGAGGAGAGCAGAGGTAAAGCCATCACAGGACAGGGCAATCACTGTCTGCCCAGCAACAGAAGAGAATCCACAGCGAGCCCAAGACAGAAAAGCCCCTTCTCCTCGAGAACTCAGCATACAGAGAAGAAGGAAGGAAGTAGGTTCTTGGGCAAACAAAAACAACTTCTAGGGAACCAGGAGAGAGACCAGGCTGGGAGAAAACTGGAAGACAGACCCCAAACCAAAGAGGGTTTTAAATAAAGGAAGTGTTCTCAATAATTCCCTTAGAAGTGATCTGTTGCCTCTCTTGTACAGCAGGCCTGATCACCCCATGACATGCTGAATAATGCTGGAACTGATGGTCCTAGACCCTTAAACACCCTCACTCGGTTACAGTGAAAGAAAAAAGTAAAGAAATGAGAAAATGAAGGAGATTAATAGTTCAAGGATAGAGTTTTCATTACTCAAATGACATCACCCTTCAAGTTGGACCAGGTTCCCTCATCTTTTTTGCCCTGGCTGAAAAGAGGAAACATCTAGAGCTATGCAAGATGAACTGCCTACATCTACCCCTCAGTGAAGAGAGCAACTGCCAGCGCCTTCCATGCTCGCTCACAACAGAGCCAAGAGAACAGGACAATGCCCTGTTCCGAGGAGCCACCCATGTACCTCAACAGGAAAAAGGCATGGAGCCAAGGAGCAGACTCCTGTATTGTCCAGCTTTCCAACAGCCACAGCCACACTCATGGACACAGCTCGGAGATCCTGGAGGGTTTCCCAAAACATGCTCACTCCTCAGCTACAGACAGCAGGACCTGCTAGTCCAGGAGGTGTGACTGGGTTTTCCTTTCCTTACAATCATGCTAGATGGAGGACAGCTGGACAGCATATTACGTGAGACAAAGCTGGACTCCACTCCCTTGTGAACCCCTCATGTGCTTAAAGCTAGTTGCCTGAGGGCTGATGACTCAAAAAGAATAAAAAAATAGAACAGATACATGCTTACGAATATTCACTTCATTTTGGGAGTTACATAACTCCTGAGGAACAGTATGATCTTATGCAAATTAGCATCTATATTAACCTAAACCTCAAGAATTAAGAAGATGGGGTACAAGAATCCCCCTAGGCCAAGAAAGTTCTTTCTCTTCCTCCAGTTGTACACTATAAAAGGCCAAATCCCACCACTTTGCCCTCTAATTTCAGAGGCCTGCAGTAAATAAATAAAAAAAATAGTATGGGCAGATTGATTTTTTGCTGACTCAAATGAACAGGGTTTAAGTTTTAAAAACTTAAAACTACTCTACACTAATTTTCCCAATTCTGGTAATTACCAAAATTGTGATAATTCTGACCACCATTTAAGGCACCTTTAAAGTATAAAGGCTCTGCACTTTACCATGCTGAAGCCACTTCATTCTTCTAATTCTAGCAACACAGTCAGATGACCTTCATTACTGAAATGCACCCCAAATCTATCAGTACCCCTTATCTAAAAGGCTTAGGGCCAGAAGCGCTACAGATTTCTGGCTCTTTTTTTTAAATCTAGAGTATTTATGTATGTGTAGTGAGACACTTGAGATGGGACCCAAGTCTAAACACACAATTTCACATATACTGTACAGACACAGTCCTGAAGGTAATCAGATCCACTACTTTCAGGGTGTCAGCCCTCTGACTGGGAACATCACACAAGATCAGGTATGGAATTTCCCACCTGCAATGTAACACTGACATGCAAAGAGTTTCAGATACTGGAACATTTTGGATTTACAATATTTGAACTAGAAATGCTCAACCTACAGTATGAAGCACAGTACTACTTTCCCTACAGAAAGACCTTTTAGTTTGAACTGGTGAGTATGCAGTTCCTCCACTAAGTAAAGTGGCACAGCAGTTCAGCCCTATCTTTCAACATCTTTAACCAACACTCCCTTTTCCAGAGTGAGGATGCAATTCTGTAATCTGTTCTTAAAAATTCAGATCTAAGCTTGTGTGTAAGGATGAAGTGTCACCTCTTCCCCTCTAACCTGGACATGACAGGAAAATCGCAGCAAGAGTTGAAGAGACAGTAATCAGCAGATCACTTTAGGTTTCATTTTTAAAATACTTTCTTACAATGAAAAGTTGGGATAATTATCACCTAAGAGAACCAGTGGCGTCACGGTGAAGGCTATGATGGAATGCCTCCACTTGGCGAGGTTAACAGACACCAGCCCTCAATCACAGCACAAACCCATCCGTTTAACACAGGCTCACCTGAACTTCCTCTACAGAGTCACTTCCAAGTATTCTATCACAGAGAACAAAACAGACACCACCTCTACCCTCTAGCAATGAAGACTTTAGAAACACTCACCATTCTGGATTTTATTGTTGCTTCTTGTACAACAGCTTTCATTGTCTACTTTTCCAGAAGTCTCCTTTACACTCTGAGACTGGCAACCTAAAGCTGAAGGTTTGACCATTTTTCCTGCACAACTATGAGAACTATCACAATTAACACCTGCTTTCACGTCTGGCTTCTCTGAAGAGACATCAGAGGTGGAAGGTGCATGTTCTGGGTGCTTCTGCAGCTCGGGGGTACTGACAGTTTCCGCTTCTGCCCTGGGAGAAGCTTCTGTAGGTGAGCCCTCCTTAAGAAGGCCAAGGGGTGGCTGTGGAGCGGGCTGCAATCGGCCTTCCTGCTCAGTGTCCGTCTTGGGTTGGTCAGAGCCAATTCTGCGCTCACTTAGAATCTTCAGGTCTCCAGGCCCAACCTGAGCAGGCTGTGAGGAGGGAAGCCCTGCTCTGCAGACATCTGGTTTTGTTCTCAGTCCTTCAGGCTTTGTGTTTAGACAGGAAGAAAGCTCTTCTGGTAAACTCTGCTTAGGACACCTAGAAAACACAGGATGGCAAAGCAGCACATTAAGGCCTCTTTCAGCTCTCTCGATTCCAAAACCAACTGTATGTTCCCTTCAGCAACCAGCATGGATGAGAAGGCTGCTTCCACAGAGAACTCAGGACCGGTTTCTGTGAGCCAAAGTTAAAAGTCATCAGTCAACAACTCACAGAAGTATCTTAAACCAGAAAAACACAAGGGCTACTTACATCACAGTGAACCTTAGTTTTCCCTCAAAACAAGAACCAAAAATTATATTCAGCAGTTAATCTCAGTGGTGGTTTTCAAAATGTCAAAATTACGTCTCTGCAGGGCCCATTATCAAAGGTTTTTTTTAATATTAGAGAAACTTCTGAACTTTCTTATATAATGAAGATTATATTTAAATTTGAAAGATATAACTAGTATTCTTATTGCTTGCCAAGACTTGGAAATTCAATCTCATGGCAGGCAAATGTGTGAAGATAAAAACTTTCAAAATACGTGTATTAGAAATACTAGGTATCAGGCTGGGGCTGCAGCTCAGTTGTAAGGTGCCTGCCTCACATGTGTGAGACACTCACTGGGTTTGATCCTCAGCACCACATAAAAATAAAGATACTGTGTGTTTATCTATAAAAGAAATACTAGAAATCCCTTAAAAGGTAGCCACCCAATATTTAACCAGCAACAGAACAAATCCTGTTCGGCCCCAACCCAGCTGAGGTGGTTAGGACCACAGCAGATACTACAGTGGTCGATGACTGACTGATTCACAGACTCACTCTGCACCACCCCATCTTACTTGAGATATCCTTGAAGGACTTCATTTCTTCAGGATTCATTCTAGAATTCTTGCTTCATCAAATAATACAGCTTTATTTGTACTTTATTTTTCCTGCCTCTAACAGAGGATTCGTTCCTGAAGAATAATTTCTCATAAACAAGCATTCCTATCAATCTTCTGTTTGGGGTGGTACTAGGAATTGAACCCAGGGCTTCACATAAGCTAGGCCGTGTTCAACACTGAGCAATGAGCATCCCATAGTATTCATAGCATTTATAGTAGAAATCTCAGTCTGGCCATCAATAATTTCCTGATGTCCTCTGTTGTGAGACTGCTTTCCTTGCGCCTGAGTACTACCTTACCACTCTCCAGGTATCAGCATAGGAACTTGTCCTTTGTCTTTCCCCCAGCAAGCAACATACTCAGCCACTCTCCCACGTTTGGGGACAGTCTTCCCAACTCGCCTCTCCACACCACAGTCTCTAATGACCACATCTTGCCTTGATCATAAGCCACCACCACCTCCCAGAAGAGGGCCTTCCCTCTCTCTGCACCATGCTCACTTGAGCCCTCATCACACTTGACATCTCTTATTTAGTACCTCCACCTGTCAGGGACACCATCACTCACTGCTCCCTTGTGTTTCAGTCCCCTCTGCCACATCTCTACACTTGACCTCAGTGACAAGGCTGAGAAGTGATTCTTACCTGTACCTGGGGTTGACTCAAGTCTAGGTGGCCCCTCATTGTACCCACATCTCCTCCCCAATACCCACTGACCTTCATCTTCCACATTCAACCAATCCATTCTTTTCTCCTTCCGAGCTCTACCCATCAGCAGCACTCCAACTGGTCCCCCACACCATCACAGAGCCCACTCCTGTCCTTCTACACTGCTTCCTGTTTTCCTGTGTGCTGTCTACACTTTTCACCACTGAAGGAATCTGAGTAACCTCTCCTCTCAGAAACTTATGAAAAACTTCCATGGACAACCCGAGACGAAAACAGTGAACCATGACCAAAATAACTGGTTGTGATTAAGTATCTTTAACACAGCACTACTCACCCTTGAGGAATCTTTGCTCCAAGGTTGGGTGGAGAGTTGGCAGTCTGAGGAGTACTTTGCTGTCTTGGGTCTTTACTAGGAGGGGTTGCTGCGGTACAGCCAAGCAGGATCTCCTTAAAAGCTGTTGTGGGAACAGACTGTACAGGACACATACTGGGAGAAGCCTAAAAGATATCAAACCAAAGACATTAAAAGGGAAGTCCCTAGCTAGAAATTTGAATTGCTAGCAAAATTCAAGATTTGCTTGGTTTAATAATACCATCACCAAATAAAAGGCCAGCACAGTAAACAGGTGATAAGTCACAAAATCAAGGACTCACATCAAAAGGCTGTAAATAAACCACTTCAGCTTTCCAAAAACCTTCAGTGTTCCTACAAAAGATCACAATCTGATCTTTTTCAGACCTCAATCGTATGCCAGGAAAACACAGTTATATATCAACTGTTTAAAAATGCAATGCACAGAAGTGAACTTTTGGTGACAGTCTCAGTGGTGGCAATGTCACATGCATTTGTTTCAACATGACGAGTGCCTACCAGGCACTTACTGCGTAGACTGGCGGGAGACCTGACCTCGTAGGACTCCTATAGGCCTACTGGGTACAACATAAGCCTGTGCAATGCAATAGTGGCTGAAGACACGACTCTTGATCTTAAGTGGCTCATCAAGTCACAAACGTCATTCCAAGCTGCAAAAAATATTAAGTCATGACAGGCCTACGGACAAAGACAGGAGGACACCCTCCCCTTCCCTCTCAGATGATTACATCTTCACCAAATTAACACATTGGAAACACCTCTCTCCAGTTTCTCATCCACAAAAATAAACTTCCCACCCTGACACAAGAAGAGGTGCATGCAGGACACTTGCCATGGCTGCACCATGTGGCACAGGCTCCCCAAGCCCCAGGTGTAAGTCACACCTCTCCGTCACCTCTGTGGGTGCCATTTTTCTCTCTCCTTCCACCCAACCCAAAGAACCTTCAAACTTTCTTCTTCTAGTCATTAGCTTCTAAAATCTGATGTAGAACTTGAGCCCTGACAATTCTAAATATATTTAGATGTCATGTACACGAGTCTTTTCCTCACTTATTCTGGCAGCCTGGAAAATACGCCTGGCATGGTGGCATAACCTATAATCTCAGCTACCTGGAAGGCTGAAGCAGGGCAATCACTTGAGCTCAGGAGTTCCACACCTGTTTGGGTAACAGAGCAAGAGTATCTCAAAAACAACACAGAAACACCTGAATAGAACTTAACCACTAACAAAGTTTTGGCAGAGCTTCAAGCTACTTAATTGCTGAGTGATCTTATTGTATGTTCTGCTATTTCTCATTGCATGTTCAACTTTCTTCTCCTTAAACATGAACCTAGTGTTCTCCAGAACATACATGTTTGCTCTTGGACTTAAGGGAATAGGGGTGGAATACAAGCTTGGGATAGTCAACTGTACCTCTCTGGACTGGTTTCCTAATCCTTTAAATGAAGAAATGAGCTGTGTATTTCTAAATTCTCTTTTGACTATTATTTTATAATTCTCTGGTAATCACGTATTAAAAGGCCAGCCTCCCAAAGTTTAATTGCCAAATCTTTGTGTGTGTATGTGCTGGAGATTGAACCCAGGACCTTGTGCCTACCAACTGAGCTATATCCCCAGCCCAAATTGCCCAGTCTTTACCAACACTCATTTCAGGCTCACTCTTACCTTTCCTCAAAGCTACCATCTTACTCTGAATATGTTCAGAGTTGATGCACTCACACCTGTGCTTGAATTCACTACTGAGAACATCATTAGAAAGACTAGACCAAAACATCTATGCATAAATTTTGACTACAATGTCTGTCAAACTGCCAAAAAATCTCTCCATCTCTCCCATTTCCCATATCCAATCATTCAAACCTTGCCTCTATTTCCAAAATATTCAATCTATCCACTTCTTTCCTTGCCATGCTATCAACACCTCTCCCCCTGGACTACATATCTTGTAGCTAGCCTGACTTCCTTCCATCTCTGCTAATCCTCTGCTTCCTGCTCAAAATTTATTCTACCACTGAGGAATCTTTCTCAAATAGAAGTCAATAAGACGGCAGCACTCTGCTGCCTGCAGGAACCCCATGTGTTCCAGACTGTCAACTCCATCGCCCATCCCACTTCACTCTCCCCCTTGCTCATGGTCCTCCTGCTGCACTGGCTTCCTCCCTGGTCCCAATCTTCAAACAGCCCAAGCCTCTCTAGCCTTGCTACTCCCTCTGCCTGCAGTCTTCAGTGGCTGGCCAGTTCCTGCAGTCACCCTCCACTGGCTCAAATGGCTCCTCCTCAGAATCCCGATGACTCACTCCAAAGTAGGTCCCATGAGCCACTACCCTACTACTATCATACTCCTACCATGCTTAACATCTTTCTCAATCATTTGTCACACTGTCAAAGTACCTTCTACTTAGTTACTGTCAGTTTCACAAGGGAATGTACACTACTTATGGGCAGAGGCCCTGTCCCTGTGTCTGTTAACACCACTTCAAAGCCAGACATAAGGCAGATGCTCAATAAAAACAAGACTGGCGGAATGATGTACCAGTGAACAAATGCAGTTAGCACCTCGTATTTTTAAACAGATATATAATAAATAAGTCTTATGAGTTAGCTGAGGCAGTAATAATGGTCAGTGTTTCTCATAAGCAAATATTCATAAAGTGTTTGTTGGAAGGAAGGAGGGTGGGAGGGAGGGTGGATTGGCTAGCAAGAAGGAGAGGAGCAGGAAGACCTGTTGTGATGATGGTGACCACCTCACCAAGGACAGCATCTAAGAGGCCTGAGGACAACACAGAAGTGACCAACACTGAATTCTGGTGTTAGACCCTGGTTTGAATTCAGTCTTGACAATTCCTGGCACACTAATCTCGCACAGTTAGAGTAACAAAGCATACTTCACAGGATTGTGCTTTACCATAGCAGCTTGACACACAGCAAAATCAATTTTGGGTTCAACAATCTCAATGCAGAAAAATTCTGCAGAAGTTTTCTCAGCTGCATCACTGTGTGATAGAATTCACTTAACTTGGAGTGCTTTCCTTGAAGCAGCTTAAGGACACCCCTGCGACTTGCCTAAGGTGAAGCTCCATGGGATGGACACTGCCTCCCAGCCCATCATTACTCCTGTGTACACCTCTGCACTGCCTCTGACTCAGAAAAGGTCAAAGTTTCTCCTTACCTGAAGAGCTTCCCTGAAGGTCTTCTATACCAGTCATGGCAATAGTTCCTCCCTGCCAGCAGACGGAGATAATATAATTGAGTGCACGACAGTTTCTTACAAGGGCACTGCTGGCTCACTCCTCAGCAGACCTCTCAACTAACCAGGCAGCATCCAAACTCTGAGGAATAGTCTGCTAGGCAGAGAAGACCTTCAAGGAGCCAGCTGCCACTGGCACACAGGCTTATCTCATCCAAAAGGACTCATATCAGGGCAGCCCAGGATCGTGCCTACCTAATCCCAAATTCCTGCTTCCCACGACAACCCTGCAAGTCAAGCCTCACGGCTCAGCGCACCTGGGAGGTGCCAACAGGAAGAGCCAGGCTGTGTGCTGTGGTGCTTCCACTCACCCCACACATTGGCTCCTCCATTCCTTCACCTCTTCAGGCCCCCTGGAGTCGAGGCCAGCTGGGTTTCCTACACTTGCCTCATTCTAAGAATCACCCAGGATTAAAAAGAATGATGATATGAAAAAATACTCAAGGAGGCTACAGAAAAGTATGTGTTTAGTTTATTAAAAAAAAAAAGAAAAAGAAAAAGAAAAACAGGCCTCCGTGATATATGATAAGGAAAGGAACAAGGAAGGATTCCAAAACAAAGAGTTTCTGAGAAGCACAATGACAAGTGAGGTTTCTTCTTTTTGTTGCATTTTCTAAATAAACCAAAAACTCTAAAATAACTTTAAAAATCAATGTCAGACTTCTAAGACTTCTAATACTCCAGGTAAACATCTAAGACCTCCAATTTCTATTAGAATAAGATGCCTTATTCAGTGCTTAAGAGCTGACACAGGCTTTTTAAAACATGGAATTCTGTTTCTCATTTCAGATGCAAAGGTTAAGAAATTCATCCCCAGGCTGAAGTTCAGGCTTACACTTTTAACAGCTTTGTTGTGCCCAATATATCCACTTGTTGCTCCTGGGTATATGGACAGTCCCACTCCCTGCCCTTCCAGAGCATGCGTTGGGCAGAGGATCACATCACACATGTTCGTACTACCACATTTCACAAGCACCTCCTTGAAGGTTACAAATTTACTCCACCCCCTTTCTGTCGATGATAAACCTGACACTCGGAAGAACTGACACCTTCCCCCAGGAAGCCCCCAACCTCAGTTCTGTCCATTCTTCCTCTCCAAATAAGGTCTCCCATTTCTACCCCATGTCCCCCAGTGCTCTCACAACCCTCCTTTCCATGCCCCTTGACTGTTCCCACAGATAGCCACTGCATCAGGTAGCACTTGCCTACTCCCAGTAGCCTTGGCAAACTGGCCTTTACTGGTCTCTACCCTAGATGGCTAATAATTCCAATGTCACACCTGACAGACCTCAACTCCACCCAGCTTCTCACCAGGGGGATTAATTGGCAATGACCTCTCTTGAGTTTAACTCTAAGATGCAACACTCACTTGCTGGCTTGGCATCCCCTTCACAGTCCTCAACCCAGAGTCTTGCTTCTATTTCCTTCTCCCACCAGCTCAGCCCTTCTAAACTGGGGGAGCACACAACACCATGAATGACCAACCATGTCCCTTGCACTTTCTAAGCTTCAGCAGTTTTCTACCCACTTTTAGGAAACACCCTCGTCCTCAGTCCTCACACCTAGTCTTCCAATGGGCCAAGTCAACGCTGCCTCCAAAGCAGCTCTACATTTCCTCAGTTCACTGACTGGCTTCATGCTCCTCCGTGGTCAACAATCCCACTAACTTCACCTGTGCCCTCATTTCTATCCAATCCCCTTTCTTCACCCATCATCCGTAAAGCTCAAGTCCATCACCTAAAACTTAAAACCCCTAATACCCTAAATCACCCTCCATACCTAACTGCCAGATAAAACTCAACTTGAGTCTGCTGTATCTCTCTCTCCTTTACCCTTCCTTCTATGCTCCTCCAGCCACATGCCCTCTAAGAAAGGGACACACTCTGAGAACGTATGCCTATACTACTCTGTGAGGCAGGCACCTGCACAGCTCCTGCTCAGAGCATGCCCTCCAAGCTTGTGGAACACTATAATCCAAACACCACCCCCCCCCAATTGACTACGGGCTCTTTAAGGCAGGAACTCCAAATACACTTCAGTCTTTAGGACCAAGTACCCAGTCGTGGTGAGTGTTCAACCTTGTAACTCGAAGGCAAAATTAAAACGTAATTAACACTAATTTCTATAATGACTTTTTCCAACCCAAGCATCCACCTTGGTTTACAAAGCTTTTGGAGAGGTATCGAAGTTCCTAGGTAGGATCAGGAAAGCCCTCTGGCCACTAGCCACAGAGACTACTGTGTGCTACAGCACAGTGCTAGCTCTGGTTCTAGTCAACACTGTGGTCCAGTCTGCCCCCAACATGAACCTTAATTCCCTCACTGACCCTGGTCCATTACCCATGCTGTTGCTCCTTGCCTGGCTCCCAAGACCTCAAGGTTCCTTTTCAAATATTGTGGACACTTTAAAAAAAAAAAATCTTTATTTTATTTATTTATTTTTATATAGTGCTAAGGATCAAACCCAGGGCCTCACACATACTAGGCAAGTGCTCTACCACTGATCCACAAGCCCCCTGTGGATACTCTTAACAATAATATCCTGATCAGTTTTAAAAATCTAAACTTTACCCTGGAGCACAGCATCATGAAGGTTTTTGTGGTGCTGGAGGCATATCCCCGGTTTGTCTTGCACATGCTAAACAAGCCGTCTACTACTGAGCTTCAGTCCCCACCCACAGAAGTATTTTAAATAATCATACTAAAGGAAATATCCATCAACACAAATGCATTTTTATCCCAAAGTTCAGAAAGTCATTTGTACTGGAACAGGTCCTAATGGTTGAACTCACCTAGAGAGAAACAAAATTTCTTGATCCAAATAGTGACTATTTGGGAACAGAATTAAATTTGGCACCTGAATCCACATGGCATTCATGGAAGCCCAAACCTTTTCTGGCAGAAATTATAATGGCAAATCAACTATTTGCTTTGAAAAAACCAGTACATTTCCATACCTAATCATGAAAGACCAATGAAACTTCCTTATTATCAAAAGATCAAGGGGTCCATTTCATCAATATCCAATCTACTCAGAATTTTAAGATTCTTTCCCTCGTCTCCTTCCAATATAACACATACAACTCAATTTACCTTCAAAAACTCCTTCATGTAGTGAAATTGTCACATCTGCTAAGAATTTCCAGGAAATATCCCCAAAAGGAAACCTTAAAATACATATATGTATATTATATCCATCTACTATATACTACATATATATAGTAGATGGATATAATGCCTTTATTTTGTTATCATGCGGTGCCGAGGATCGAACCCAGTGCCTCCATATGCCAGGCAAGCACTCTGCCAACTGAGCCACAACTCCAGCCCCCAAACTTATTTTTAACGCAAAAAATAGTGAACTAGAAACTTATATTATCTCCATCTGCTGCAGTGTAGAAATCATGGCCAAGATCAGGAACTTGCACAAAAGAGTGGACAAGACAGCACACAGCCAACAGAAAAGACATCTATCTGACTACTACAGAGTCTGGCCATGCAACAGCAGAGCTAAAGAAACTTTACACAAATGACGAAAGCAAACCAAGATTACCTCAGAACAAGATTTTGCTTGTTTGGAAACCAAGCTTCCATTATTCTCAGAAGACTTCCGTTTTACACCTCCAATTCTTGCAGAATTATCTAAAATGTGCAAAAATAGGTAAGCTGGTTTCTTGTAGCATAAGGAAAATAGAGAAAAGGGGGAAGGAGAAGAAAGATTTTAATTAGATAGTACTGTATCTTACCATATGTCACGAAGTTATCATGTACAACTTCAACATGAATCAGTGAGGGATCGACAATTTTCAATGCTGGAATCTTAAAAACAAAAACAAAGAGGGGCTGGGGTTGTAGCTCAGTGGTAGAGCGCTTGCCTAGCATTTGTGAGGCACTGGGTTCAATTCTCAGCACTGCATATAAATAAGTAAAATAATGATACACTGACAATTAAAAAACATTAAAAAAAACAAACAAAAATTTTTTTAAATGCTTAGGAACACATTGAAAATTGGCTCTATTAAAATAATAGAGTATCTTAGAAATAATTTCTTTTAAAAATGATTGTAATAATTTCTATCTCCTAACTTCATAAAATGAGAAAATATTATTAGGTACTTTAAGATCACAGATTTTCTGTGTGGTTATGTGGCCCTGGAACTCATCTTTCACACAGTTACCATGGTCTTTACCTCCTCACAGTTGACTTGAAGAGTTTTAGATGCTGGGTTTCCGTTCACAACAGTTGCTGAAAACCACTGAGTAGATGGGTCCAAACTATAAATTTTTACTTCTGAACCAACTAAGTTTTTGTCACCTTAAAAAACATAAACGAAAAAAAATGTCAGAGAATCTGCGTTACTTTCTAATAGTACCATTATCCAAGACATTCTTCCCCAAATCTTTAATTTCTATAAACATAAAGATAAAATAATTGCTACACACTTAATACAGACATTTCAGCAAAGCTAAAGAAAATGTAGGCTTTCACTGCTCCATTTTCTTACAGATTTGAATTTGAATAATGTATTTATTTTGACACATTCCATCAGAACAAAAAGTATCAGACAATTCATCAGAAACTCACTGTTCTGTGTAGTTTTAGAGGAATCAAATTTAGGAACCCCAACAGAACTGTGAGTTTAATTCAGAAAAAAATTTTTTTTTTCTTCATGACTGTGAAACTGAGAAACTCAATACCATTAAATGGGAAGGTAAGGATTACTAAGGAATTTTATACAACTAAAATTCCAAATATCAAATTCCATAATTGAGCTTTTAAAATGCCTACATTACATTTATAATTTCACATAATTTCTGAACTTTACAAATTAAACTCCTCAATCATGTTACATAGGAAAACTTCTTATTTTTCAATTTTAAAATTGATTACAATGAAAAAAAATTAAGAAATCTTAATGACAGAATGAGGGAGAAGAGCTAAACCATAGCTTCTTAAAAGCAATCACTGGTTAACTTATGAACTATCAACAAGAGAGCATCCACATACCTTTTAAAAGATGGCTTTCATCTAAATGTTTCACAATCAAAGCCTGAAATTCTTTACTGATGCTCTGATTATCAGTAAGGGAAAGCCGAAGATTGTTTACATCCTGTAAAATCAAAGATTGTTACACTTTAAGGAAACAAAAAAGAATTATTTACAAATCCCAATGACCATTTCAACTGGTCATCCAGACCAGTTCAGGTAATGTCAACTAGCCATTTGATGGCACCAAACCATTTCAACTCCAGTGAACTGCATTGGTCAAGAAGTTGGAAATTATCAAACACAGGCATAAGGCCAACTGAGAGGAAGTCACCCATGCCAAGAGCGTGAGAAATACCAAGTGACTCAATCATGATTTTAAGCATGACATAACTTTGGTTATGGGAAAATAATAAGTGAATAAACAAGCTGGTTGATCCAACTTTAAAACAATCCATATACCAAATACTGGGAAATCCCAGGCCCAATCCAAGAAACAAAGACACACCGAGAGATGCTCATTGTCAATTCACTAAAATCACTGTTTTAACATCTCATTTCATACAAATTCATTTAACCTAACTATATCCCAAATACATTCTTCTTTACAAAAGGTAAGGAAGCTGGTGGTGGGGGATGACAAACAGAAAACCTGAATGCGCAGCCCAGGGCTTCAGAGCGAGCCAGTTCTGAAACACTCCGTTCTTGGCAGCTACCCCACCTGGCACTAGTCCGCCCTCTGGCTCTGTGTGCACACCCAGTTATGACAAATGTATACAGACCATCAATAGGAACAACCAGCCAAACCAAAATTCTAGCAGGGCAAAGAAAAACAGTGCTAAACACAGCAGCCCTTACAACTCAGGGCCTTCCCACTTCTCTGCTACTGTGAGATACATCCACAGCAGCAAAAGCAGTCCACCAATTTCTCCCACTTAGAGAAGAAGGCTGAGCTGGAATAGTGCATTTTCTTAGTCAGATATTGCTACATAAACCAGGGCAGCCACAACAGCTCAAAGCTAATTACCAGAATGGGTCATATATTGGTTGGGTTTTTCCCCCTCATAATTTAGTACTACAATTTAAAAAAAAAAAAAAATCCAATTCTTATTATAAGGTAAGCAATCTATTGATGCAGAGAGCCACATGGGGCTCCCTGGAAAGGCAGAGTGATTCTAGTCTACCTAGGACAGTTTTAGGGCCTATCTAAAGTGCTAGATAGTTCATCTAGAGACCCTGTCTTACTTCTTACCCATAAGTAACTGAGTCAAATCCATCTAACCACACACCTTAAGTTTCAAAACCAACTTCTGCATATGCCAAATGACATTCAGGTGCTCTCTGCATTATTTAGAGCAAGCATCCTATAAATTCATACAGCAGAAGTCTGATGTGATCATCCATATCTACACAATAGTGTCCTGAGTAAAATCCAAGAATGCACACTGAAGTTTCCCTCAATGAATTATATACTAGGATTACATGAAGAACAATTTTCACACTGAGAACCCAAGGTACAACTCACTGAGAATAAACACTAATCTAGATTTTCCCTTTTTATAAATTTTTTTAGTTGAAGATAGATAAATAAATAAAGGTATTGTCTATCTATCTATCTATAATATGGTATCTATAATATGGTAGTGCCTCACATGAGGTAGGCAAGTGCTCTACCACTAAGCTACAACCCCAGCCCTAGATTTTTCCTTTTTAATTTCGAGAAACAAAACTAATACTTCTACCTTAACTGAAAAACTAGGATGTGTGGAAGATGTAAATTCAGGAAACAATGCTGGCAAGTAAAAACTATTCTACCACCCAGTAAGGCAAAAGAGCCAAATACCCATCTGTGTCACTGGTCCTGTAAACAAATCATTCTTCTCAAGACAGGAAAACCACCAAGATGCCTAGTAACATATGAAGGTAGCTTGCATGTGAACTTAATTGGAAGCATCCTCCTTTGTTCTACCTACTTCTACATTATAAAATGAAGCCTACATGATGGGCCTTGTTTTCACTCATTTCCAGGATCTGGAAGTAAAAGCAAAGCTAGTGTGTGGCTTTCCAGTACAGGCCCAGAAACTCAGCCACCGGCCCAGGCTGCTATTAGCAAACACACAGGTTTAATAGTTGTGCATACTACAGAAACAAGTCAGATCTGAAATCACAAAGCAGAGTGTGTAAAGGGGACAGATGTCATTACAAAACCAATAGTATTCTGAAGGCAGTGATCTCCTCCCTTCTAACATTTTCATAACAAATACTAATATAAACTACCAGAAGCCCACATGTTTAAAGGTGAGAGTTTTCCAAACGAATTGAAAAGAATGTATATGTATACAGCCAATCCTCAGTTATGTTCCACCAGATTGCCAAAAGGAGAATTAGTGATTACCAAGCCATGGGTCTTAAGAGAAACATGGGATCTTATGAACCTCTGGTCACATTCTCATCGACTGATCAATATATAACCTTGCTGGATATGTTTCTGTGAAAGACACCTTATGCAATACACATTGCAGATTCATCAGCCTTGAACTCGTGTCCACAAGCACCCCACCTGACGGCTGGGCAAAAGCTCCTCTAACACATGTACTTCAGACCCACCACAGCTTTCTTTTTTCTTTTTTTTTAGTTTTCGGCGGACACAACATCTTTGTTTGTATGTGGTGCTGAGGATCGAACCTGGGCCGCACACATGCCAGGCAAGCACGCTACCGCTTGAGCCATGTCTCCAGCCCCACCACAGCTTTCTTGAGCTTATAAACACCAAACAACATTTCAGCACTACATCTGGGACACTTTACACAGAAAAAAAATTACAAAAGGAAAACAAGAAAAAAAGCAAAAACAAAAACACAAAACAGTGAAACTAAATAAGGTGCAAAAAAGATACTTGTTTACACCGGGAGAGCTGAAATAACGTGACAAAGAAACATCACCTTTACTGGCCTCAGTGGGAACCCACATCAGGCAACTCAAAGTGTTCTGTGCACATGGATGAATGAATGCAAGCCACCACAAGTACTGATTTGGGGGCTACAAATATATTTTAGTAGGTAGGCAAATTCACAAAGATAGAATCCATGAGTAACCAGGATCAGCTGCATTATTGTATGCCTGTGTGTACTCATGCACATACACACAACTACAATAGTCAACTTTCCAACATTATTTCCGTATCACCTAGGTGTTTCCATACATACCATCAATTGTATACCCTGTCCTTTCAAACCAAATGGATGGCACAGACCATAGGCTACAATTGAGGATGCAATCCAACAACCCTTTTTTGAGGGGGATATATCAGGGATTGAACCCAGAGGCACTCGACCACTAAGCCACATCCACAGCCCTATTTTGTATTTTAAAGACAGGGTCTCACCGAGTTGCTTAGCACCTCACTTTTTACTGAGGCTGACTTTGAACTCACGATCCTCCTGCCTCAGCCTCCCAAGCCACATAGCGTGTGCTACCGTGCCTGGCCCAGGCCCAACAACTAACCCTTTTTTTTGTGTGTGGTGCTGGGGACTCAACTCAGGGCCTTGTGCATATACAAGGCAAGCACTCTACCAACTGAGTTGTGTCCCCAGCCACCACAACTAACTCTTGATGGGATGGGTTCATCTCTTTATTAGGCATCTAAATATGGGCAAGCAACACCAATCTTAATTCTCATGTTAAAAGAACTTGAATCTCTGTTTTTAAGAATGATTTAAGGATGATTTACCTGTATAGGCTTTAAAAGATCTTTGGAAAGAAATACGCTTTGCTGATCTCCTAGGAAGCGAACAGAAGTTATGGATCCCAAACCAGCTTTGTCCACCAGAGGTTTGTACACCTGGGGGGAAAAAAAAGTTTGGCATCATAATTGCTATCAGCATTATTCTGAAAATGGAACTGACAATTTTTAGGCACACAGGAAGTAACAAAGTCAGTAAGCTTGTGTTTACTGCAAGGACCTCATAATAATGAGGTACCTACAAAAATCACACAATTTTCATTCAAACCCAGTAACTTAAACCAGATATGCATTTGGGAGTCATTGTAACACACAGGTCCCCAGTTCCTCCGTTTTTCCAAAATTTTTGCAAAAGAAGTATATGTACTTTTTTCTGGGGAGCTAGATTATGAGTTCAAAAAAACTCTTGGCAGGTGGACATAAAAATATAAAGAGGAAACTGTGACCTTCAGCAGCTCTTCTCACTCATGAGCAAAACCCTGGCTTTGCCAGCAGCAGGTGAGGCCCTCCAGGATCTGGCCAACTTTCAAGCACCATTCTGGCCTTTCCAACTACCTGTACCTGACTTCCTCATAAGCTCCAGATGTCCTCTCCAGATACAGTGGTCACTCTCTTCCTCAAACTGCACCACATTTACAACGCAGATACAACCCAGACCTTCTTGAAGTATATTTAGAGCCAAAAACAATCCCGAGCAGGAGGTATCTGGGAGACCCTGAGGCCAGGAATGGAAACCTCTTTTATGGACTGCTGCCACTGAGACCTGCCCAGTGCTGCCTGGTCTTACCAATTTTAGGGACACTGGAAATCTAAATGCACATTCCACATTTTTTAAAAAGGCAGCTAACTCTATTTTCTTAAAACACTTAACTGTTTGGGCCAAACCAAACAGATCTATCTATATGTATGTATGACTACCAGTTTCTGACCTCTGACCTTGACATTCCCCAGATTACTTCCTCCCCCATTTTTCAAGTGAAGAAAATAAGACCCTAAAAGCCCAGGGATAGGCTCAGAGTTGCAGAGCTCCTACAAGGTCTGGCAGAAGATTCTAGGTGCTTTTGTACTCTCTGCCTTGTCACAAACATAGACTATTGTTTCATGTGTGTGACAAGGGCCAAACACAGGCATTTCATTTATATTTTCCTTGTTTTACCCCAAACAGATGAAATGTTCTCTTTTCCTCAGTTTTACTCACTATTGCAGGCCATTGAACAGTTCGTTCAGAAATTTCAGGTGACTTTCGTTCAGCCAAAACCAAATTATGCTCTACCAAAAATGCTTTCCTCTGAAGGCTGTAGACTTCTATCCATCTTCTCTTCCTCCAAGATTCCCCATCAAACTCGACACATACCTGGATGAAAATTGGAAAAGCAGATTCAAGTCACAAATTATCACCATACAAGCTTAATCATGTCATTATTATTCTTGAGTTTCCCACATGCATGTGTTAGTCCCTCCTAGTTCCCTGCCTTTCTTTCACAGCCACAGCAAAATAATCACACATGTACCAAACTTGATCCCCAAACTACCCTGGGATTCAAAAGTTCAGGGCTTTCAGGATCAGTGTCCTTAAAGTAGTCTCTGGGTAGCCCAGAAACCAAAGAACCCCACTTAGAAGGGATTTACATGTTAATTAGATGTGTGAACTTTGGGAATTAGATGAGACAAATCTGAAACCCAGGAACAACTACTTTTCCAAGTGCATTGTAATCAAATTCTATGTTGACACTGCAGTGGGCTTAAGAAGACCCCATCATGACACCAGCTACTTTTAGACTCTTCTGGTAGACTACTTAGCAAAAAGCCCTAATGCATGGCACACCTTCAATATACCTTTCAATAGAGAAAAGGGAGAAATTTACTTCAGTGTTGGGAGTCTAAAACTATTTTACACGATAAAATAAATAAGAAATTAATAAATGACCCCAGAGCTACGTTGTTTTTTTTTTTTTTTTAATTCCTGGTATTGGGGGGCTGGGGCTGTGAATCAGAGGTAGCATACTTGCCTGGCACACTTGCCATACTTGTGAGGCACTGGGTTCTATTCTCAGCACTGCATATAAATAAAGGTCTAGCAACTAAAAAATTTTTTTTAAAAAACTCCTGCTGTTGGGGATAAACCAGAGCACCTCATCCATGATAGACAAGCACCCAATCACTGAAAGACCCAGTCAGTCTAGTTGCTTATATAAAAGTCAAACTACCTTTGAAATATAATTTTCCAAGTAACTGTAATGTTTTCGGCTTCAGATAAGCAAAAATATGTTTTAACCATAAGGCTATAATCCTTATAACTTAAATAAATTTACGAAGACATTTTTGTAAAAATCAGACAAAAGTTGGTCTCTGGCAACGCCCAGAGGTAGGAATTGTTCACAAAACCTTAAAGTTTGATAAAAAGTGATGCACCCAAAACACCCAAATTTATTTCTTTGGTATTGGGATTGAACCCAGAGCACTTTACCACTGAGCCACATCCCCAGCCTCCGCCCTTTTTATTTTGAGACAGGTCCTTACTAAGTTGCTAAAACTGACTTTTGAACTTGAGATCCTTCTGACTCAGCCTCCCAAGCTGCTGGATTATAAGCATGTGCCACTGTGACTGGTCAAAACACTCAAATTTCATTAGCTATTATGAATATGCTGCCCCTTAATTTACTCTAAAACTTTTTTTAACATTTACATATTTTAGCAGACTTGAATAAACTCCGTTAATATTCAGTGAGAAAATCACTATTTTTACTTAAAATTCTTACAAGAGACCTCTTTTTTGGTGTTTCAAGGATTATTAATGAACCCATCTCTATCAAATCTTTTGATTTCACAGATGTCTTTACTAACTACATGGTCAGAACCCAACTTAAGAATCCTTTCCTCAAAGAAGCCTCCCCTTGCAAAAGAGCCTTTCCCCTCCTGAGAGAGGTCCCCCTGGCTAACTGACCTCAGAGCTCTATGCATTTCCCTCCTAGCACTTACCCACCAGTTGGCATTAAATTTATGGCTAGTCAACTGACACATGAATCAAATAGGTCAAAGTTTGTGTCTGTTTTTGCTCACTGTCTTGTCACTGGTATACAGTCCCTATCATTACTCAAAGACTTATTAAGCATAAATAAATGAACTTCTCTCTGAACTGACTCCTACATTCTATTTCTCTTATTTCACCTAAAAAGCTGTAAATTTCAGCTGATACACTGTTAATTCCAATCCTGAACCTTTTCCAATCTACAGGATATCTTTTTTAAAAAAGATAAACTTCCCAGGCAATTTGGCTAGGACGCTGCATAACTTCTTGTATGGAAGGATTTTTTGCAGTAACCACTTTATACTTTCCAAATCAGAATAAATGCAAATGGAGAAGAGCTATGTGGCAAAGCCTTTCTCCCAAGTTATATCTATTCTATCACTTCAACCAACCAACCAATGCTCCTTACCAAGGTGTACTGAGACTGCTCATTTTCCTGGCTTCCTTGCCAGAGGATCCAGGTCTCCTGACATCTCCCACAGAGAGACTTAGTCTTTCAACCCCAACTTAGCTTTCCATGCCAGTTTTCCCATCTTTCAGATATGTGATATAAAAGGAATAAGCACACAAATTTCAGAATCAGAGAGACCTTGGCTTGAATTCCACTATGTTGAAACTTTCCTTGATGTTACTTGCATAAAACAAAACGTGATTAGAAAGGAAACCAACTCAACTGCATCCCAGGTTGAGAATTCTTACTTAGAAGTCTAGATCTCTGAATCTTGTTTTATTAACTTCAAAAAGAAAGCAGTAACCTCTACCTCTCACTGAACTATTAGGTAGATGGGGGAGGGGTCGGTACTGGGGAATGAACTCAAAGAGGGGTGTTCTACCACTGAGCTACATCCCCAACTTTTTTTATTATTTGAGACAGGGTTTTGCCAAGTTGCCCAGGTTAGCCTTGAATTTGCATTGTTCTACCTAGGCCTCCCAAATCACTGAGAATACAGGCATGAAACACCATATCACCATACAACACACATTACAACAAGGTATGTAAAGTGCCTGGTTAGGCAGCCAGGTAGTTTTAAGACCTACATGTTAATCTAAATCATATCACCATATCACTGAAGTTATGAGTGAAGGAGAGAGTCTTCAACATAACCAGATCTACTCAACACTGAAAAAAAAAAATGAAGGAAGGATTAAGACTTTAAGTGGTTTCCCCAAATATAAGCAACAATGTTTATCAGACCACTATTTAAAACTTAAGATAACAATCTAAAATTCAAATATCTCAATTTTTAAGTACTTTTAAGTTCAGCTCCTGCACAAGGCCCTGGGTTCCATTCCCTGTGCAGCAAAACAAAACAAAAACCCATGTATGTCTTTCATTTTTTCCTCAAAGCCTGAGGTTTAATACTGAAGGACACCTCCCCTAAAGTCTCTTTTGCAGATACTCTGGGGCAGACGAAAGACGTTCATATTCAGAAAGAACTAAGGGTGACTCATCCAGTTTATGCAGGCTGACAAATGAAATGAGCTTCTGCTGTGTACTTTTCCCCATGCTCCCTAGACCCACAAAGAAGTTACTTGTGCTGTCTGACACTAAAGGCCAAACAAAGGTCAGTTATGACTGCCTACCTGAACTTCCAATTTTACTATTCTTGTAATAGGGCCTTTTGTAAATGTGAAACTGATTAGGCTATCAAATATTTTGACCAAATGTTAGACATTTCAAATCAATTACTTCAAAGCCAATTTTTCCCAAAAGAAAATCTTACATGATACGTAAATTAATGTTATAGCTAATCTCAGCAAAAACTCATCTCTCCTGAGCATATAATTATGAAAACCACGGGAACTGCCAAGGAGAATGTTACCAAATGTGAAGGTAGAAATACACAGAACAGCATGGTTTGTAGTTAAATGTTTGACTATATATTGACTCTACCTAGTTCTACAATGTAGAATACAAGTTTCACTATTCCAAAAAATAAGGAATTGATTCATTACGCTTCCATTACATCTTCTTACATGAAAATAAAATGCTTACCTAAAACCCGAGTCTAGTATTCAATTATAAGTGGTAAACAGTCTCTATTACACTGCACCAGGAGTTTCTCATCTTACATAGCCTGGCTGGCAGCAGAATCCACCAATATTCAAGTTCCAACTGATTACAAGGATGAAAGGCATTGGTCAGGCCACTCATTTGCTGACAACAGTAGGAAAAGATACATAAAGATGAAAAACGGGTGGGATTGTGGCTCAGCAGTACAGCGCTTGTCTAGCATGTGTGAGGAACTGGGTACGATCCTCAGCACCATAAATAGATAGACAGTTAGATAGATAGACAGAAAAAAGTAGGGTTAAAGAAAAATAAAGACTTAGATAGGCAAGCTGGGGAAGGAGGACATTCCGTGCATACCTAATACAAAAGAAAACAGTTCACACTCAAGCAGAGGGATGAAAGATGAAGTCAGTCCTGGGAACCACATTTAACTAAGATCTCTGTTATTCTAGAGGTAGAAAAGGCTACTGCCCCAGCAGTTATTTCTGAACTGTTATTTGTAAACTGTTTCCTAATAGTAATTATTTTGATTCCTTCACTTATTCATGCAGATATTTAAGTACAAGTACATACTACATAGTGTTCAAGGTATGAAGGATTCAAAGGCTAACAAAATAAAGTGCTCAAAGCAATTTTTTCTTTTTCTTTTTTTTTTTTAAAGGTACTGGGGATTAAACTCAAGGGCACTTGACCTCTGAGCCACATCCCCAGGTCTATTCTGTATTTTATTTAGAGACAGGGTCTCACTGAGTTGCTTAGCACCTCGCCTTCCTTGAGGCTGGCTTTGAACTCGAAATCCTCCTGCCTCAGCCTCCCAAGCCTGCTGGGATTATCAAAGCCTAATTTTTCAAGTCTGTAGACAAACTTGGGCAAGTTATGTAATTTCTTTAAACTTCAATCTAACCCCCCCCCAACACACACACACAAAATCTTACCAAACAGGCTACTGGTAAGGATTATTACTTGCCACATAATAATCAATCATTATTGCCTGTTACTATGTCTTCCACTTCTTTGCAATCAACTACTAGACATATTGCTTTTGTCACCTAAGTGACTTTGTTACAAAGTCTTTCTGGCAGTGAAACAAAATTAATAAGCCTTGGCCTTTAATATCATTCACAATTAAGCCTGCCAGTCTAGACTGACTTGTATGTGTGCTAAAACTTAGAAAAATCATCAGAGTACCTACCTAAGTTTACTTATTCAGTCACCTCAGCGCCCAACCTCACCACTCAAAAAAGCTCAATGTCCCTAAACCCAGATGTAAGTATGGTCTTAGTTACTTGGTTCTACCTGCACTATTTGGTTCCAGTGTTTCAAAATCCATTTTTATTAACTACAACATGGTTCTTATACTTAAGCCAATTATTTCAATGGCTACTGAGGAATGCAGTAGTAATGATTAGAATAAAGAAATAATATAGATTTGCATCTTAAAAAAGGGCTGAGTTGTGAAGTCTGCAGATAGGGCATAAGTCCAAATTAACCAAAACTGCTCTTGAATTGAAATCCCCAGTAGTCTCCAGTCAAGCACCTTAGTACAGTGGAGAAGAAACACTGCCCAACCTGGATTCAAATCCTCACTCCCTTACTTACAGTAGCTAATTACACAAGTCTAGATAAGAGTCCTTTTCCTCAAACTGCTTCCTTCCTCATCCAGAAAATGAAGGTTCCTGAAAGTTGGGTGTGGCAGGGATACAGAGATAAAAATAAATACATACTAAGAACCTCCTAGATTGTCTGCCTACAACAGATCCTCAATCACTGCCATGGAAGGGAAGGCAAGGGAACACACAGTTTAAAAACTGTTTCTATTCAAGTCAGTTAAAACACAAGTTCTACAGAAAAACTTACCTAGATGAAATAAAACACAACCATCTTGATGAAATCTCATACACAAAGCTCTACATTTTCTGTAAAAAGGTTACTAGCCTAAAATAAATAGGCTGGCTATCCCTGTACAATACACTATCTCTATAAACATGAAAACCTCTTTGGTACAAGAATGAGTGGAACAGAGGAGAGAAACCAAACCCCACAGTGTGTGGTTGGAGCATTTTTTGTGGCACAGCTCTTAATGCCTGATGGTGAAGAGGGCAGCCCTGGAGTAGAACTTCCTGGGTCAAAACACATATTATGCCAGTTGGCTATGCAAGTTGCCAGTCATGTGACCCTGAGTAAGACAATCTTTGTAAGACCTGGTAAGGTGGGGGCATCATTGCTGGTAAGAGGTCAGCATGATGCTTGGCATGTGTTTAAGTGCTCAATGCTCACTTCTCTGCCTCAACATGAAGACCAGGCACCTGGTAGAAGTTTTAAAAACATGTAAGTACAAATATCCTCCTACCTCCACTCTTTGTGGACTCCTACTGGTTTGGGAATGGACAGACTATCAACTGTATAAACTGTACAAAACTGAACAGTGTTTCAGAAATCAACATATATTCAATTGCTAATGTTAGAACTTGCTTCCTTTATTTCCTGAGCAGAGTTTCAAGAAAAAGCAGTGGTGACCAAGTGAAGATCCTGAAACACACACATCACTCAGAGTGGAAATCTCTTCCATTCTGACAAGCTTCCTCCAACTTATCACCACTTTGCAGTCTTTGTTAGGGATCTTTTTTCAGCTATTTTTGCACAAAGGAGTCTTTGTTGGTACAATGGCTTCCTCACTGGTTGTTCCCAGACAATCTTTTCACAGCAATACTTCTATTAGAGTACAATTAGAATTCATCCCTCTTTCCAAAGATCTAACTGAAAAAGGTTCTCAATGTCATTCTGGTTTAAGAAATCACTGACTGCACTTGCTCCCATTTCTCTCCCTGCCCCCAAAACACCCAAGTGCAATATAGATTTCGAAGCCATTCCTCCACTGCACCATATATGGGCCAGCTCCACCCCCAGCGCTCCATATACGGTCATATCCCACACCCACCCACAGACTCCTCACGGATAACCAGGAACCCATTCCTGCTGACCCACCATATACGGACAAACACCCACCCTAACACGCCGAGCAGAACTAAACTCCTCCCTCTACACTCACACTTCATTTTTAACCAGTGCTTAAGTTAAAAACAAAAAAAAGTTAACAAATCCAAAGGAACACCCCCCACCCAAAGTCTGAAAGCACCTCCAGGCACCAGCCCCATTCCTACCGCTTCCAGACGTCACCGCTCGCCCAACCTGACACTAGCACCGCTCCTCCCCGCCGAGGAGTCGTCGCCCTAGCGGGGCCGGCGCCGGCCGTGCAGTACGCAGCCCCCGCAGACCGCGGCCGGCGACTCCGGGCGACCGGGCACCGCAGACTCGCGAGGTCCCCTCCGCAGCACCGGCAGGTCCGAAGCCAACTTTCGGGCCGCCCCGCAGGGGGGCTGCGCGTTCCCACGGCAACGCGGGGGCGGCTCACCTTCAGGTCCTTCCTGGAAACGTCGGGGTGGGACACGGCGCGGACCGTGCCCGCCAGCCAGGGCCACTCGGCCACGCGCTGCACGTCCCAGCCGTCGTCGACGCCGTCGGCCGCGCACAGGCTGAGGAACCGCTTCCCCACCAGCACCGGCCAGCTCTCCCCGAGCGTGAGCACCATGTCTCCGCCGGCGGCAGCGCCCTCCTGCAGACACGGAAGCGAGCGTG